AGCCTGTTGTCACTTTATGATCAGTGTTTTGAGAAGATCTGTGAAAGATAACATTGTTTTCTTGCAGAGAATGGAACTTGGTGTTGCCGAGAGGAACAGGATTGTACCACCCATGAAGCTGTCTCACCCTTACAACAAGCTGTGGAGTATGGGTCACGATGATATGGCTATTCCTACCAAGTATTCCCAAAGCTCACCAGAACGACCCCTGACTGCACTTGGTAACATGCCGCCAATCACAAGGAGACCCCGGAGCAGAGACAGCATTCTGGCTCCTGTGGAAAAGGATGAATCAAATCCTGCCACTCGAGGGAATATCACCATTCCTAGGCCACAGGGAAGAAAGACTCCTGAACTGGGGATAGTGCCACCACCGCCAGCACCCAGGGCTTCCAAGCATCAGATTCCAGCTGGGCCAACAGAAACTCTAACCGCCCACGCTACAGGACGTAGCCATTTGGTTTCAGATCTTATCCCAGAGCCCTTCGGAGCTGGTAGGGTGTCCTTAGACCCTGAAGTCCAGCAGTCTGTGAATTATTCCTCTCATTCATCTCAGCTTTTGTCCAGTGCTAGCAGCACTGCAGAGATGCTCCAACCTGTCAAGGTGAAGACAGACAATACTGGTAATGAAAGTGACTACCTTCTTAACCTGCTGGATCCATTAAAAACAGCCAGCTGGCAAAGCAGTGGCCCACAGCAAGGCTCCTGCAGCCTGCAGAGCTCAGCCACTCCACCTTCTGGAGCGGGCTTTGCCTCAGTGGCAAGTGACTTTGTGCCTCCTCCAGCTGCACCATTTGTCCAATCACTCAGTTACCCTTCCCCAGCACTGCCACCTTTTTTACAGGCATCTCCATTTACACAAACAGCGCCAGGAGCCCTGTCAGTGTCTCTTGTTAGACCCCCAAGGGGCTCTTTCACCCCCACCTTAGGTCATGCATATAGCTCTAGCTTCATAACACCTAATTCTGGTTTCTACCCACCACAAAGACCTCAGCCAAACATTTCAACATTGTCCATGCCAAACTTGTTTAGCCAGGCTCCAGCTATGGCACAAGCTAGCTCCTTATTGCTGCAGAGCCACAGTGCTTCTCCAGCAAGCTCTCTACAGCCAGCATGTTTAAGTGGTCCTTCTAAATCCAGAACATTACAGGTGGGCAAGTCCAGTTCCAAGGTAGATACCAAGCAAGTACTAGCTCTTCTGTCTAATGAACCTCCTTTGATCCCTTCCAGGCCAGCTAAGGGCTTAGAGTCAATGTTACAATCCTCAAAATCTGAGGAGACAAAAGATCCATTTGAAGATTTGTTAAAAAAGACAAAGCAAGATGTGTCATCCACACCAGGTAAGGTTGAACAGCTCAGAAAGCAATGGGAAACCTTTGAGTAGTGTTCCTGATGATGGCCTTTTGATGTCCCTTTGGAATTGACAGAGATTTTGTTTTTTTGAGCCAGCATAAAACCAAGCATTTCTTTTATGGAAGTCTGAGCCAGGATGGCTGCAGGACCATCACCATGCTGCAATTCCCACGATTGCTTTTTGCCCAGAGTTTGTTTTGCTGGGGAGTTCCCACGTTGTCCTCATCCCTGCAACTGTTTTCTCACTTTCTGCCACTGAAAACCCCCATGACTTTTGCACTGACCAAAGCATGAAGGTAGTTGGGTTTTGGTTGATTTGGTTTGGTTTTCCACACGTAGCTTTTCAGACAATACTACTGATGCAGAAGTTACATCTGCCCTTTATTTACAGTCCTTAGCACAGCCGGGAGCATGACATAGCACATTGTACTTGTGTTTTCTTGCTGCCTGTGTGAATGGTGTTCAGTTCAGTTTTTCCTGTGTTGCTTATATGGCTGTATTTTCCTTTCACATGTAAAGTGCAGCAAACAAACCAGATTTGTGGACTGCACTGAGTTAATCCATAAGGCTTAGCCTGACCGAGTTTGTCCTCTCTTAGAAGACTGACGTTCATCTAGGTCATACTGTTGGGTGAGCTTTTGTTGCATTTTTTTTTTTATTTCCCTCCCCCAGTAAACTTGACACTGAGAGGTACCAGGGACCTCTCTGGTGCAGAATTTTCATAATTCCTTGTTGCAACAAAACCATAGCATAGAGCAGTTGCTCAGGGTTTGGTCCTGCATCTCTGTTGGGAAACCGGAAACACCAGCAATTGATTTTCTTTTATCGTCGTTTATAGTTTGTTTTCTTTTTTTGTTAAATACATCAGAAAATAGAGTCCATGAAGAGTATCCTAGTTCTTATGTATGTATATGTTAATATTATATATAAATATTATACATGGCAGTATATGAATGGGATGTAACAATATCTTACTTGATTATTAAAAAAAAAAAAAAAGAGAGAGAGAAAAAATCAGGGTATAAAAGTCCCTGGCTCATGAATTGAAGTTAAAAGCATACTGACAGGATGTCCAAGTGCAGAGAGATTAAAGCCACAGTGCTCATCTGCACAGACAGAAATAAAACCCCAAGTAGAGCTAAGTGATGTAATGCTGGAAGGCCAACGCATGGCAGCTGCCTGTCACTGCTGGACTTCAGAAGTGCTAACTGCTACCTTTAAGAAATGGGATTTCATTCTGGTCTGCAAGGCTCTCCACTCCTTCAGTCTGTCTTAAAACCCACGATCTTTATCCTGCTTTTGATGAGAACAGTTTGCTGGGCTAACGAGACATTAACTGGACCGTGAAATGGACTGCGAGGTCACAAAGTACAAAAATGCAACGAGAAAGTTAAAGGGTACGTTCATTCTGATTTTCTAAGACACTTCTGTGGCAATAGTATTCTCAAGAAATTTCATATTAGTCTTAGCAACTCCTTTAAAATTTGCTGTCTTTGCAGTTATCATTTTTGTTTTACTTAAGTGGTGCTTTTTTGTTTTGTTTTGTATTTTGGCACAGTCCAATTTAAAACATGTTACTTCAGAAGACATAATCACATCGCCATTAAGCCTTTGGTAAAGGAAATCATTTTGGACACACGGGGAAAATCTTGTAAAGCTTTATCAGAATTATTTCCAATGTATCTATTTTACTCATATAATCTTGGAGGTTTTCTTACTCTAGTGTATGAAAATGGCTGTCTGTGCGTTTGAGTCTGTGCAATACAAAAGAAAAATATCTGAAATGCCAACAGTTTGGGAAAGACCATAGTATTGCATTAATATTACTCTATTTCTGTAAAGCACTGTTACTCTTACGAGCCATTCAGTTGGATTTGTATTTTCTTTTTGTGTTGGAAGACAGATGGTTTTAGTATTGCATAGTAAAATATTTAAAGTCTAAGACAATAGCTCCATTTTATTTTATACAGTTTAGAATATGAACATTATATATAAATGCAGTCTGTAATTTTCAGATTTCCTTCACTACGAGCTAGATGATAAAACTTTTCCAACTATAATGGATATGTACAAACACCAGATAGTTCTGCATATGATGTGTAATTTGAATTTCACATACTTTTTTTTCTTTTTTTGTCACACACTGAGGCTATACTCAGTAGGCGTAATACACATGCTTAACTAGATAGGAAAACACTCAGGTAATTCTGTATCACTGCAAATCATTTTCAATTGTTGATTATTTTACTCTTCCCATATTGTATAGTATAATTCCCAAATTAAATATTTTTGAAGTTGCTCTTTTTAGTCAAACAAGCACTCTTGGATTTATTTTAGGTCAGTAGTTTTAAGTGCTTCGTAACTAACATTTAATATAAGTGGCATTAATCACCTTTCATTTTATTTTGAAGGTGGGAAGGGTGGAGGTTGAACACACCTCTGAGATCAAGGGGTACAAGGCAGCATGATGCTGGAGTTTGTGTCCTTCCTCACCTCCTGAATAGTCGTCTGTCTTAAACTCAGGAATTCCTGGAACGATTAAGCCCTAATAGTGCCAAACATAAACAAAGTATGCCTGGGAGGGCAAGATCAGATGTAAAACATTTTTTTTCTGTTGTAGAAGTATTTTTGATAGTTGTAGTCATCTAGTATAAGAAGTACTACTTCTTGTCTGTTATTTTTCATCAATGACTTTTAGGTCCAGCTTTATACAGTTTCCTGTACTGTCCATACTGTTTGCTTGTTTGGTACCACTTATTTACAGATGTTTTCCTCTTAGAAATAGGGGTATGTTTCTGACCCAGAGTTCAAAAACTGTTGTAAACCTGTATTTTTATTGTTTTCACTTCATTGGGTTTGGAAGCATGTTAGACATTGGAATTGGAAGCTGTCAATCAGACCCACCTTTTATCTATTATAGTGAAGGCTACGTGTTATAACTTCTATTACTTTGAATTACTCTATAAAGGAAAAGAAAAACACTTTCCGTGCTGCAGTTCAACAGGCTGCACCCCAAGCTCCGTCTGCGTAACGTTCTCCTGCCAGGAAAGGGCTCGCAGCGTGCCCTGCAGCGGGCACATTGCTGCCTCCCACAGCTGCTGTGGCACTGCCACCAGACACTTACCAAGGTAAGAAGTCCAGCTGGTCCCAGCCCCAGCTGCTGCCTCTTGCTGTACAGCTGGGGATTGCAGAAGAGGTCTTCAGACCACTGGAGGGGAGATATCTGTGTAGGCTTTTGATGTAGGAAATGGTCTTCTAAAAGCTTAAATGAGACTTGCCTTTGATATTCAGTCCTGGTTCTCTCCAGACATGCTGGGTCAGATGGGGTGGTACAGACAGGAGTGTTCATCCTCTCTGGCTTTCTCCCTTCTCTTGGAGGTTGCTGTCCCCCCTTTTCTCCAGAATAGGATTTTTGCTGCTGCAGGTATCTGTCCTGACTTAGGCCAGAGATCTACGACTCTTAGGTATGTCACAGCTCTAAATGCAGTCTGACAGTGTGTCTTTGTCATAAATCCAAGGGTTAATAGTATCACGGCTAGCTTTCCTTAGCAAGTAAGTACATGTAGTATGTGTGTAATAACACCTAGTAGCACGTGCTTCAGTACAGGTGAAGAGAGAAAGCAATCACAGGTCATGATAACTAAGTCTATTTTTATCCATTTTTATTGTAAATTTCTTTTGAGGGACATTCTATTTTTTATTTTTATTTTTTTACAACTTATAAAATTTACAATTACAAAAGATCAGGACTGTGACCATTAACTACAGCAAATCCAGTTTTGTGAAAAAATATATTTAAAAATTAAATATCAAAAGAAAGTTAAGTTCATTATTGAAAAAAACTTTCATAAATTATTTTTGCAGAAATGCTCAAGACACTGACAAAAATATTTTAACACTTTTACTAGTACTGGCTTTGGGTGCTTGAAGTACAAATGTCTGCTCCTAATCCCGTAAAGTGACTGAGCAGCAGTCTTCCTGCTGACTACCCAGGAACAGCAGGGGATGCAGACAGATTCACTGCTTGCAGTTTGCTGGGTTTTCAGGTGTCTTTATTATTGTCGGTTTTGTAGCTACTTGTTGCCTTTCAGGATAGGTCAGCAGCTTAGTAATATTCAGCTCTTCCAACACAATTCTGTTCTTCTCAAAATAACACAGGCTAGAGTAATACTGATTGATAATATTTAGATCCCATTGCTGCCTTCATTTTTCTACATTTTTAAATCTATGAAAAAATGGAACAGAGCTAAAAAGTCAAAGTACACACCTCTCCTGGCAACAACCCGGAGTTTAATCAGGCCTTAGATTTGGGAAACCCAAAGCAACATACATGTATTCTAAGCTTGCTGTAGCTTTACTGTATGTCATTATGGGATAAAAAAAAAACACACCTACCTTTGCATTTAAGTAAAGGTTTAGACGCAGCTGTGCTCTGGCAGGACACAGGGCACTCTGCCCATGGCTGCTGGTGTGGGGTCTGAGTCCCTTCTCACCAGGAGATAACCCCAAACACCACCCTTAAGATGGGGCAGTCTCAGACCAAGAGTAAATTTTTGTTTCTCTAGAGACACACTAACCAGCTCTGCATGTGGGGCCCTCCCCTTCAGACCTGCTCTGCCAGAAAAGCCCTTTCTGCTTCATTGCTTTAGTCCTGTTACCCAGATGCTGCTGGGCAAAATTATACTCAGCATTTTCTTAAGGTGTGCAGTTTAACTTGTTCCCCTGTAGCGAGGTTAGTGGGCAGTAGAGTTGTCTCTATTCTAAAAGTATGTTAGACCTTCCTAAATAGTATCTGGAACATACACAGAGCAAATCATCCATGTTACAAATAACAGCAGCATTACTGCTGATAAATAAATAAAAGTGATAGCAAGCTCCCTGACCTGAAATGTAGACATGCACTAACTTATCAGTACTATGTCCAATTCCTTTCCAAACCACAGCCAGGGTGACATCACCAGTTGCTCTTTTAACTTCTCCTAAATATTAGAGAAAAGTGACTTTAAAGACAAAACATTAATTGCTTCACCTCCTAATGACTTCTTGTGTTCTGCTTCTCCAAATATTTCATTCTTTACCTTACGTCCACAGTTGCACACATGCAGAAGACCTGTTCTTAATTGGACAGCCCTGATCAGTAGTTTCATCTCTTCCCTTTGCTTAGAATTACCAAAAAAAAAAAGTTTACAACTACACTTTTAAAAAAATCTAAGAGCAAAAAGCATAAAACAGTATAGCATTGTCTTCCAGTGGCAATTAGCTATGGTGCATATTCACACCCTGCTTATTAATAGTATTTTGGAGATTAAAAAGCAGACACTGTTTTCTAAATATTTCTCACAGATACGTGTAGTAATTATTCTGAGATGCTACTGATTTTAAGCCTTATTTGGCCTGCTCTGCTGTAGTTCTTTCTTCAGGCTTTGACACATTATGTTAAAGACAAAGTTGCACATTCATCAGCTAAAACAGTAACAAAGGAGCAGTAAAGCCAAAAAAATAAATATCCCTTTTGGAGCAAAGTGGAAAATAAATGCTGTTTCACTAACATGAAACTGGTTTGTTGTTGTAAAGTTCAGTATATTAATTAACTAAATTCCACTCTTTTGTATCGACAAGCCCAAACCTGAGGGTCCAGAAGGCTACAAGTCTTGAAAAATGTCTTTCACCCCCTTCTCACTCAGGTATCACTTGACATTCAAACGTTAAAGCTCTTACTAAGGACTATTGTGTGGTCCTGCTTTTTAATGTCAACGCCTGAGTCACTGCAGTCTGCTCTGTGTGGTTGGCAGATACTAGACCTAGGAACAGATTGAGGGGGGAAAAAAACAAATCACCCAGCCTGCTAATGTCAACATTGTAGTCTGATCAAAGCAAGTGATCAGTTTTTCTACGTATAAGCATCCTACTTTCAAGAACATTAATACTGTAACCGGTGAGGCAGTCTTAGAAAGGCACTTAATATATTCCTATGGTTTAGTCTAGTCTTAGGAAAAAAGCTTTAGTAGAAGTGCACTATAGCATATTGGTATTTCACTGTGGTCCTCTTGTGGAAGGACAGCAGCTGCTCTAGGAGTTACCTTCCATCAGTCGCCTGCCGTGGCACAGGCACACTGTTTTGTAATTTCTTAATACAGTGAGTTGTCCCCCACCCTTAGACCTTCCTCACTTAGCTACGTGGTCCAGTGACCCTGACTGCCAGCAGTGACAGTTACTGCAGAAATGACGGATGGATGCAATGGGTAAGGCTGGCAGCACACAGCTGCCTCTACCGGCTCACTAGGGACCAGTGGCACTGTGTTCTGGTAGGGGTCCACACACCTTACCTCTGCTGCGCCATAGCCACTACTTGCTTCCTTGCTGTCACCGCCTCCAGGGCTTTTCTTTTCTCCCCAGACTTTACTGCTCTTGCTTGCAGACCAATTTTATACAAAGCTTTTGTGGGATGAACTGGAATAACATAAAATTACCAAGTTCATTTAAGCAGTTGAATCTTACTGCCAAGGGTCCTGTAAGTAGCTTAAAGCAGGACAGACCTGTCCTACAAAACAAAAACTAAAACAAAAATGAGTTGGCCTAAGACCGAAATGCTGCAACAGTTCCATGACTGTGAAAGGACGACAGCACCTGTGACCCCACTTGTTATATCAGCCTCTCAGTTGGTGGCAGCTTGATTACGTTCCACATTTCCACTCGAGCCCCGTCTTTTTCCTGCCGGCTTGGACTGTATCTTCCCTGAGTTGCTCTCCTCCTCTTCATGACAATCACCGTGGCTGCACCAACTGCAAGGAGAAGGGCAGCCCCTGCAGCCCCGACAGCTCCCACAATGGAGGAGTTACTAAGGTGCGCCCACACTGGCTGCTGCGGTAGAACAGGGTGTTACTGAGAGCTTCCCCATGGACAGCACAGCATTTCACATCCCTCTTCCCCATCCCCCTGCCTCACTAAACTGCATTGGTACTGTCAGGGTGATGACAGCAATGCTCGCCCTGTGTTCCCCCACCCTCTTTCCCTCACTAGGTGCCCTAGTCCCTGCTCTTATCACACAAGTCCAGGCACTGCAGAAGCTTTCCTGCTCATCCCACCCACCCCCTGCCCCATGCAAGGCACAAGTTCAGTACTTGGCACCCCGAGACTGCAGCCAGCTCCAGCACTGGTTCACAAACCCACGTCATTGTGGCTGTACCTTTCTTGTATGGTACCCATGGGAATGTCTAACATTACTTCATAAAACATTGATTTGTACAATGATTTCCGTAATTAATTACAATTCCCTGAAACAATGTCCATCACAGGATAGGAGGTCACGGCTGCTGTTGCTGTTGAAGATTGCTTTGTGAAAACCTCATGTGCCTTTGAGCATGTTCAGTAGTTAACAAAAAACAGAGCAGAGTATATAAAGCAACTGTAAATATCCTCCATCCAACTCTCCTTAAAACTACATAGAGACCTTTGGCTCTAAGTTAGTGCCCAATTTAACCCTGCCTTTTAAACAGATTTAAATGTGCCATTGCAGATTTAAACATGCCAACTTCAAAGCCGGTGCACTTCAACAGCTCCTACTGGGGTAAAAGTATGGGGGCAGCCCATGGGGCAGGACAGGGGGGTAAAGAGGCTCACTATGAGCCACTGGTGTGCAACTGACTCAATTAAATGAAACCAGCTGGAACAGCTATTGCATATACAGTCTGCCTTGTACTTCTAAATCCAGGTCTTCATTACCATGCCTTAAGGAAACTGAGATAAGAGTGGATCTGCTGCTGCAAGTGCTGGAAAAAGATCAAGGTCAAAGCAGACCTCGCAGGTACATCTCCTTGTCAGTGTAGTGCCTATATTAACCGCTCTTCAGGTGGCACCTTTAGGACACTGTCCATCTCCAGCCGAGCTCCTGCCACTTCTTGCTGACTTGGGCTGTAGGTTCCCTCTGACTGGCGCCTCTTCCTTGCAGTGAGAACCATGAATATGAGAGCAATACTGAGGAGCAGTAAAGAGCCACAGGCTACAGGGACAGCTACTTCAATTAGTGGGGAGGGGAAGAAAGCACCTGGAGTCCCTTTCTGTAAAAGAAATTAATGGAGAAACAATGAAACTCCAGTGGTTACAATAAAGTTGAAGAGCCCAACATGGTCAAAGTTGAGGAAGTAAAAAGAGGAAAAAAAAGCAGATGTGTACCTGAATGGAAAAGGACAAGCACAGGGTTTGAGGGCACCTGCACAGAGAATGCTTGCTTAATCTCTCAGCAAAATGTCTTCTCTCTTTTTTTTTTTTTAAATGGAACACTTTTTATACAAAGAACAGCTAGTAACGACATCTGAAATTTTCTTCTAATTCAAAACTAGTGACATTCAGTAATGATATTCTTCAGCAGAAAGAAGAAAACAACATGCAGCAGGAAGGGGATGATGTTAAAGTCAGTACATGGATGGGAGATGGAGAAGACTAAAGGCCCAAATACAGAGCAGAGAAATGCAGTCAAGTGAACGTTCTTCAGCTGCTGGTAGAATTAAGGATAGTATGGAGCACAACAATAAAGAATGAAAAAGAAAAAAGAGTGGAATTTTTATCATTAAAGAAACCTTTAAAATTACAATAAGCCTAAAAATGGGAAATACTTCTTACTGTTAAAAATAGTATCTGCCATCTCACAGATAAAAGCAAAAGAATTCAAGCTCAAGCTCAATTATTCACAGCTTTTGGATGCCATGCAGTCTCTTCCCACGTCACACAGCAAAACACAGAAGGAATAGCCCCAGACTACCTTCTGGGAGGTCCTTCTGCCATTTCCAGTGACTGAAACTAAAGTCGTCTCTCTAAGACAGCCAAAATTCAAGCCATGTGCTACTGGTTAGTTCTCGTTTTGCACAAGCATGCAGATTAGTCACACAGTACCAGTGCTACAGGAGGTTTTAGAAGTCTGCTCCTACTGCCTGTTGCATGCTCCTTACTTGCTACTGTTGGTGGGAGGGAGGAAGAGCAAGAACGCAGCTGGCCTCTCTGCTTCTACAGCAAACCGTTAACAGCAAATGCCTGTAAGCTGCAGTGTGTCCTTCTCCCTGCCCCCCCCACCACAGGAACTGTCCTATTAAGAGGGAAAGGAAAGACTGTTCTGCAAAAAGTCGTGTGGATGATGAGAATGAACAGAAGGAATCTACAAGAAGTGTCTTTGAATAGAAGCAGCAGAGGTACCTGAAGGAATCTATGCACATAAACTGGAAGTGTCAGGAGCGACCTCACGGCACATGCACTACGTGAGTCTTAGTAACAGCAACAGCAGCAGACCCCGCCTTGGTGCGCAGGCTGTTCCATGCAGTATGGGTTAGTGCATTCCCAGGTTACCAGACAAGCCACCTGTCCATGCAACATCTTTACAGAGAAAAAGTAAGCGTATGATTTAACAGCTTCCATGCAGGAAGGATTCTAGGCTCAGAAAACAATGCTTTGCTTATGGAGGAAAAGTAAAGCATCACAAAGGCTGCCCATCTGGTCAGAAGCAGACTCAGCAGAAAGAAGCATGCTACATTTTCACTTAGACTTGAATCACATTTAGCTTGATTTCACTTGACTTCCCATCTCAAACACATCTACTTCTACCCAGATGATCTTTGGAGAGAGAGAGACTCTCATGCAGATAAAATGATAAAATGCTAGCTGAAACCCCATGCTCTAGGAAACTGGGAGGCTGTGCAAGATAGTGAAGGGAAAGTATTCCATTCATATTAAAAATGTATCAGCATAAAAAAATATTTGTAACCCTTTAACAACTGAATATCTCACTATTGAGGCACGTTTATTTGGTACATTACACACCTCTGTCACACCCAGTAACTCAGCTGGCCATTCCTGGTTTTCCTGCAATTTGTGCATTTTGTATTACCCAACAACTTCCTATTTAATAGAACCTGCAGAAGTTTTCATTCACTGTTAACTGTTCCTCCCCACCCCTTCATATTTTTTTGTCTATTCTTACCTCCTTATTTATACTGTGAAAGTGAAAACAGCCTTAACAAGCCACAAGAATCAAATCTGCTGCCAGTCATTCCTGGCTTTGAATCAAATTTGTCTTCTTTGTTCTTATTTTAAAAATGATGTAACTAAAATCTCTAGTTTTCTTTTTGTACCACCGCTATGAGCATAAGGCAGATAAGTAATATCTCCTTTTTGTAGGTCCAACTGCAATAGTTTGATTATTGTCCAAAGTAAAAATCTAAGGGAAGTCCAAGAGACAGCCCTGGAAACCATCTGGCAGAACATGCAGATTCTGAGAAGTATTTGCTGCAATTACTTGTATGCTGAAGACTAACATACAACAGCATTGCCAAAAAATTATTTCTCACTTCATTTTTTTGGTGCCAACTGTGCTTACCAGTGCGCTTTAGCCAAGACACATACAATACACAGGCAGTTCCACTGATGTCCTACTACCAAGGATTCTGCTGAGCCTACTTCTGCTGCTTCTCACAACTCAAAGTTTGGAAGAACAGACAGGAGCTTCCAAAAGGAAAGACAAGGAAGTGCTTACATTAATGTCACAGCGCTCTCCAGTGTAGCTGGCACTGCACAAACATTCGTATTTGTTCTCAGAGTCTTGACATGTACCTCCGTTCTGGCAAGGATTTGGATCACACTCATTTATATTAATTTGACAACTGGAAAAGAAAAGTGTATTAGAATTAAATGAAATTTCTCATATATGTTTTTGTGCAATAGAACACAAGATCATACAGCCTACAAAAGCCTCATTTATTTGAAAAGCTCCTGTTGCATCGTGCTTTCTGCAGGTCCAGCATCATGGAAGTTTTACCCTTTTGCACCAATCCTCCTTTTGTCGTTTCTGGATGACCGAACCCAGTAAGGTTCTCTAGCACAGTTAACAAATCCTCATGAGGTAAAAGAAATACTTAGAAGCATTCCATACTGTGAAATTGGTCATGTGAGCAGTATCATACCAAGCCCACCTCTTCTCAAAATAACACCTGGTTTACAATTTTGGAGCAGTTGGCAAACAGATATATAGGAGGATGAAACATTTGAACCTTTTCAGCTATCCCATGGATGTGAGAATCAGAGCACAAGCTCCTTTGCAGAAAAATAGCACTTACTTTCTTCCAGTGAAACCTGGCTTGCAGCTGCAGTTGGCTCCCCAGGTCTCAGTGATGCACCTGCCACCATTCAGACAAGTGAAGTTCTTACCACACTGCTCAGGTGGGAACGGCCATCTGGGAAAAACAAAAGGCAGCCTTTAAAGCAGTCACTTTGGGGGAAGGTAAAAATATACTCGGATACAGTGGAGACTGTACTGACAAGGGTCATAAGCATAGTCATTGCTTTTTCTGGGAAGGACTTTGACATGAGTTGAGAAGGGAAAAGCGTCAGAAATAATCCATAATATCCGCATATGATTTTAAACGTGCCCAGAAACAAGTTTGTGCTGCTAGCACAATACACACAAGCATTATCAGTACTAGGACTCTTCTCACATAGTTTCCTATTCTTGCTGAGAAAAATATATGCAGAGACAGGAATACCAAACTGTAGCGCAGCTAGGCCACAAAAAGAATAATGCATGCACTAGATAATTACCTGCACCAGAAACAAAGTAAAACAACAGGAAGTTCAACCTGGGTAGACCTGAAAACTGAAGTTCAACCATGTAAGCATCTATCTCAGTGTTCAATTTGAACAGGCATGAGTACATGGAAGTCTAAAGAATATTTTAGTTTCTGCTTCCTTTACCAATATGAGACATACCTTTGTGACTAAAATATGCTGGAGTTTTTCCAAACAAATACAAGTGCTATAAAGATAAACCTTATGTACCATTTTCAGCACAGATTAGATTGTCTCTCTCCTGCACACTGCCCAGAAACCATCCTCTATGGAACCATTTCTAGCACTCTAGGCTACTCAGTACACCTGAAACTTCAGAACACAACCTGCCTCCATCCTCTGGGGGCCATAAGGCTCCTGTCAGTTCATAAGCATGGAAGTGGGTTGGTTTTGTTAAATCAATACAACAACATGCCAGGTGGATGTCAAATCCTGGAGAAGATGGATTTTTATAGGAATGCAAGATGGATGTGGCAACAGGCTATAGGACTTTCACTTTAAATGGCTCTGAAATGTAACATGAGACCCACATAAGAAAGAAGGCTCCTTATCCTAGGGCAAGAACCATTCTGTGAGGATTTGGACCTGGACAGCACCTTCAAATTAACATCAGAATTTAGGTGCTTTTATCTACCAGATACCCACAGGGAAAATTTTTCCCAGAGTGTCCCAAAGCAAAAGTCCAATTTATCTGGGTGCTTCTCTATCCCCCTTCAAAACAAGCAAGGCACCTACTCGCAGCGAGGTCCTGAAAAATGGGGCAGGCACTTGCAGGAGTAGCCATAAACCCTGTCAATGCAGGTGGCTCCATTTTGGCACTGGTGCCGCACACAGTCATCCACGTTGATGTCACACTTCTTCCCAATGTATCCCCGGAAGCAATCACACTGAAAATCTGCTACTGCATCAACACAGTTGCCATGAACACAAGGGTTTGGCTGGCAGTCGTCAATGTTAGACTCGCAGAGCAGCCCTCCCCAGCCAGCACTGCAGGCGCAGCTGAAGGAGTTGAACAAGTCCTGGCAGGTGCCAGCATTGAGGCATGGGCTGGAAGCACAAACATCAGCCCCCGTGCAGCCCAGCTGGACGGTCCTTCTGCTGGACTGCTGGAACTGCTCTGGCTGAGGGTATGAGAGGTGGGCAGTGAACGGCAGGTAGATCCCCCCTATCTTCACTTGTCCGAGGCAGCCAGTGAAGTTTTCACCTAGAACAATTGGTGCATTGTTCTTTAAGAAGTCCAAGTTCCCAGCACTTCCCTGCAGAGTCACATTAACAGCCCCATCCAAGTGAATCACCCATCTAGACGAAAGAGCAGACGGCTCTTCCATAGACACAGAGATTGTGTGCCAGGCACCATCCGTGACAGAGTCCTTACTCAGGAAGCTGACACCTTCAATACTGTTCCCACTCCTGATGGCAACAAGGAGGGAGGAGTTCTTAATGGCTATCTGGAGGGAATCCACTTCTTCCACAGCCCGAAGCAAAACAGCATCTTTGTCCCTGGTTCTGAAATCCACGTGGAGGCTGCTCAGCGTTCTGGTCACTGATGTGTTGGTGGTAAATTCAATGGCACCATCACTAGTAAATGTTGCATTAGCCAGACCTATAGATAAAGGGGTAGAGCATCAGGGATTTGTAAGACAGCAGGTGTAACATTAGAGACAGACCAATGGCAAACTCTTGGCAGGTTCCCTCCCTTAAGAATCATGTAAGCTTAGTGTAAGTAGGATTACAGGCCTAGCGGCTGGCATCATTAAAGCTCTTCCTGTTTACACTTACACTTCTAATAATAATATCCAGCTATTGCATACTGATTTTTACTCATTAGTGTCACAGCACAGCACAAAAATACAACAATTGCCCTTATGCTAGTATAGAAAACTAGAATGCAAGTCAGGAAAGTAATACATCAGAGGCTGCTGAGAAGTGGCAGAGCAGGGAACACACTAACATCGAGTTCAGGACATTTTGTAGCCTCTAACAACATTCCCTCCCCAGCAGGGAATCGTTAGCTAACTAGCTTTATTCATTACTCATGGTTCTGTCTTAGGTGAAAACAGACACATTTGCAATACTTAATTGTGTCTTACTTGGTCAAACAACTGAGACTCTTGAAAGGGAGGAACATTATGGAAAACAAGATGGCCCCTGCATTGCAATGATGATAAGGCAGGAGTAACAGTGAACTGGCTCCTCCCTGATACAGTCATAGCGACAGGAAAAAAAAAATACACCTTTGAGTACAGTCTTTGCTCTAGCACAAAGTGGTAGTAAATCCATAAAATGCATGCTGCCTGTAAGAGTGCATACTTGGGCATCATTTCCAGCTTGCTAACTGCAGCACTGTTATTGCAGCATGTGTTTGTATTTATTGCAACAGTACGAACTAGAAATAGTGACTGTAGGCACTTTGCTAACACACACACAGACTTTACTAACATGTACACAGGAGAACAGTACTTACACACATATCCTGCTAGAACGTCTACACATGTGGTAGCTTCAGGACATGGGTTACTTTCACACCAGACTCTCTCTTCACAAAATTTCCCAGTGAAATTTGCTGGACAGCTACAATGGAAATCATTCCAAGTGACGATGCATTGGCCACCATTCTGACATGGCTCGGACTGAAAAACAAAACAGTGCAGTGCAGGAGCAGTGCCGTTCATGTTCAGATCTATGAGATTTTGGTAGAAGGAAATGTGACAGAGATTACTACAAGCAGTGAGAAATAAGGGTAATTAAAATAGTGAATCAATGGTAGGAAAGGAAGCACAAGGGTCCCTATGCAAGCAATTCCTGAGACCATGCCTCTCCCCATACACACTGCTGATCGACAGAAACTCCAGGCAGAACTCCATTAGTGTGGAACAGGACAGCTGACAGGACATCTGCAGCACCCTGTACTTCAGAGAGCATCTCACCTACTGCTACTGGTCTGCACATGCTGACCTTCAAACTGTTGCAAAATCTACAGATTCAGGTGCACACACGCACAGCAGTCAGGGTTTGGGCACCAGTCCTCATCACTCTGTGAAAGAGGGGTTTTGTGCGTGTGTATCACCAGGCAGTACAATGTTACTACTGATGGTTTGTATCTAGTTATTTGAGAGAAGGAAGCACATCCTTGCTTGCTACTATTTTTGTTGTTGTGGCATCTGATACAAATTATCTACCAGAGTCTGCTATTCTTCAGGTGAGTTTTTTGGTTCATTTATATGTGTTCAAATCCAAGTAAACAGCTGCCCAGATCAGTAACATTACAGGACGTATGAGAGAGTTTTCCCCATAGTTTCACACTAGAGAAGTCTGCAGCTCTCAGATTTGAAAAGTTATCCTCTGAAAAAAGGATAGAGAGACAGGAGTTACATCATAAGAGTGAGGTCTAAGAGTACAGATGTCCTGTTCTGTTTTCCTTTCCCGCCTGAACAAAAAAGGAAAAATAAAAATCAGACAGCATGGAAATAATGGTACTCTATCTACTAAGAAGCCTAATGAAGTCAGGTAATTGCTGATTAAATACATAAAATTGAGAAAAGTCATCATAAGCTAAAGGCAATTCTAAATTATTAGAAACAAATAGATCAGGCACCAATCCCTGCAGGTTCGGCCTCATTTAGTCAAAGTATTTGACATCTCATGACATCAAAACACACTACAGCACCATTATAATCCTTAACACCCCTACAGCAACACACTGTGCAAACAGTGCCTAATTATAGCCAACTAAAGTAACCAGCATTTCACAGAAGGAATTAAAACAAACACGAGACACAAGAGGAAAGGCGTGAAACAGGTGAAAGCAGCTTTAAGGCTCCTGAGAGCCTCGCAGTGTTCTGTCACTGGCAGGACACACCTGATGCCAAAGAAGTGACAACACTTCATAGCACCACGAGCAGGAAGGACAAATACTAGGGAGCGGGGCTCCCCTATATTTATGGTGGCATAAAGGAGAGGCACCTTCCTCTAAGGGCACAACAAGGACAGTTCCTTAAGCTACTTGGTGCTGAACTGATGAAAAAAAAAAAAAAAAAAAAAAAAGGAACTACAGAATAAAAGCTGGTGCTTAAACTGTGTGTAGGATATTGAGTGAAACAAGTGCATCTGGGACCATGTACCATTTCCTTCAATGCTTTAAAAAAAAAAAAACTCATTTTGCTGGTAAAAGCAGCAAACTCTTTTGTAATCACAGACCTATAATAAACTACTGCACACACGTAGAGAGAAACAAGAGACTTCTTACCTTGCAGGTGTTATCAGAGATGCATCCATTTACCAGATTCACATTTTGTTCCTGTGGGAGGCTGTAGTTCTCAACCTGAAAAAACTCTATTTCATGGTTGTTCAGCTGGATGTCTTGCAAACAGCCTTTGAAGTAGCCTCCCCATGCATCAGTGCTGGCTGGGTTCGGATGCCCACCAATATACACTTCATAGCCAGCTAAAAGAGGTGTTCCTCCAAGGTGTCCCAGCTCCACGTATGTGTCTGATTGGTGGGCACCAATAATTCCTCCTTGGACAGACAGAGCTACCAAATGTCTTCTCCCATCAACTACATTTTCTGGAAATGTCACAGTATCTGTAGATAACATCTCTATCTTTAGCTTGCCATTTTTCAAATATATTGTGAGGCAAGGGTCTGTTCCATTGCTGATCTGCAATAGCAAACCATTAGGTTTCAAACTACGAATGAAAAAGGAGATATTGAAGTCAGCACCAAGGCTATCAGAAAGGATGAAAGAGGCAAAGCTGGTAGAATTCTCCAGGCCAAATGTTGCTGCTGGGCGCTCTAGAAGAGAAAAAGAAATGTGCATCAGCTCCATGACAAGGGCAATGCAGCTGCCACAGGGCACTGTAACCTCTGTGAATGAGACAAGACCTTTCTTCCCAACATTTTCAACATGTATTAGGGTAATTTTGCTTCCTCCCAACATAGGTCTAAAATTAGGATGCAGGTGAAAGTGTCCTTGCTTTCCCTGGAGGGGAAGAACTTAGAACACGCAAGTAGCAGAAGAGGGAAACGCAGATCTAGCAGAGACCTTGCCACCCAGCAGACTTAGTCAAGGACTTCTAAACCACCAAGTTGCTTTTGAAACTTGTAAATTTGGTAACAGCAGAACACCTTTGTACTTCGTACGTTTAGGCTCAGGAATTAAACAAAAATGGGCAATGTTAATATAAGCCTTGCAGGAACACAACAGTGCAAATGGGTGTGGTTTTAACTGCAAATTGTCACAGAGCTTCCTTTAACGCTATGTTATTTATAAAGCAATACATTCCCATTAACCCTAAAATCTCAAGCTCAGCTTTTTGTAGTTCAGCAACTTCCCTGCCCTCCTACAGTCACTTAGATCTGATACAAAGCGGAAGTCAGAGCCTCTGGCTCAACAAGGAATCATGTCTGCACCACGAATCCGACAGTCTTTCCTGCAGGAGCAAGTGACAGACAAGGGATCAATGAGAATTTTATTTACAGAGGCATTTGCTTTATTCCTCTCTCTGGTCAAGTAGAAAATACTGCTTCTGGAGTTAACATCAATGCTTATCTAGCATTGATGTTATCTAGCATTTTGAAGCCGCAGTTGACAGATGAGCTGGCAGATGTAAATCCCGTGGCACTTACCGTAGGAGCACGCAGGGCCTCCGTAAGGCCTGGAGCAGTCGCACCTGAACGTTGCCCAGAGGTCGATGCACAGCCCTCCGTGTGAGCAGGGCCCAGAGAGGCACCACTCCGTCCGCTCACAGCCCAGCTGCACCGGGGATGACTCGTTCACCGGGAGGTCCTCCGGCAGCACAGCTTCAGCATCCACCCACACGTCTTGCAGGCAGCCGACGAAGCCCTGCTGGCTGTGTGTGTTGCTGGCCATTGGATCCACAGCACCTCCGATATACACGCTGAGGAAGGCGTGCGGGATGGAAGCCGTGCCGTGAGGGACAGAAGAGCTCCGCAGGCAGACGCCTGCTTCACAAGAGTCATGCCAGAGCTTCAGCTGCACAGTGCTCTGCAAAACAACTTCGACTTTATGCCAATGGCCATCATCAACTCTCAGCCCCTCCAGGAGCAGCAGGTACCCAACATCCTCCCTCTTCAGTCCCACATGCAGAATGCCATCAAAGAGCTCCAGGAACAAGTATTCAGCTTCATGGCCTCTGTAAAAAAGGATGGCGCTGGGCAAGGTGGTTCGGAACCGGAGGGACACACTGGCAAGCTGATCTCCTGCTATCTCCCTCCTGCTCTGATTGTTCACGGGCAGCTCAATGAGGAGATACCCTCTGGAAGCAAAGGAAAACGTTGTTGGTGTTGAGCATGTGGCATCAGAGAAACCAGGCTGGCACTGGCACAGGTGGCCGTGGCTCTCAGCTTGGTAGGTGGGGATGCACAAGGCCTCATTTTGGCAGTCATGTGTCTGGCACCCAGTGAGCTTGACAGAGCAGTTCTTCCCTCCCCATACAATGCCATCCTGGCTAGGGGCACAGTGGCAGGTATAGTCAGCAATGCCATCCTCACAGACAGCTCCATTCTTGCAGGGACCCTCCTCACACTCATTGATGTTAACAGCACATTCCACACCTGCGAAAGAGATTTAGAAACGGGATCTCACTGCAGGGGATTGTGACTCCCTTCCCCTGAGCAAGCCGGCGAGGCACAGACCGCCCTCCCCAGCACTGCCAGGCCCTGAGCTCTTCTCTTCAGGAAGCCACGAGAAGCCCTAGGGCTGCCAGTGAGAAGTGCCTGCACTCACCAGAGAGGCCTACCATTAACATACAAGCAACAGAGATGATTCTGTGCTGCCCTTCCAGGTGCTGCGAAGAGGGTGCTGTCTGCAGAGCTTCAGCCAGTCAGCCTGCCTCATCTAACAGCCCCACTGCCCTCTCCCAGAGGATCTCAGACACCACAGCTGATCAGCACGGAGAGCAAGCAGAGGATATTAAAGGGAAAAGACAGCACAGACAATGATTTTATGCCTTTCATACACAGGTTTGGTACATTTAGATTCACATTAAGTCTACAGATCTGACTGGAGCATGTTCTGGGCACCATTGTTGCAGACAGCATCAAACTGGATCACCAGCCAAGGAAGTTATTGGCAAGCCTCAGTTAAGAAAATTCAAATTCCATACTTCGGAAAACAATCCCAGACAACCCTCCAGTTGTAAAACATTCACAAAACTCAGGTCATTACCAAACAACAAACAAAACATGCTCCACAGGCACTTAGTCATACTCGCACCGAAGCTGATTTCAGTTTTATCCAGTCCTGCAGAAGTGAACTGGGTAAAAAGCACTGCAGTGCAGTTAGCACGTCTCCTCGAGGCACATGGATCCCAACAGGGCTGAAGTAAATTACAAGCCATTACACTCAAATCTGGTTAATGAAAATCAGCTGTCATTTTCCTGAGCATCTCCAGACTGACAGAAGAGCCCTCCTGAACCAGTTCACTGTTTATCTGGCCCATAACATCGGTTTTCACTAATCTTCAGAGACAGTCACACAGATAAGCCAAGCATGGATTATCCTGATCTAATAGTATTACACACAGAATCTACCCAGCAAGCAGAATGAGGACAGCAGAAAGAAAAAGAAGGAATTCACGCACAAAGGAGAGGAATCAAAACACAAAAGACATTTGTAAAGAAAAGCCACTAGCCAGAATGGGCATGTCAAAGAGATTAGAGAGTTGCCTGAGGGAAAAAGAGATGAGGGGAGATGGTGCAGTAGAAGTACTGGAGCTGGACTTGATGAAATGTGAAAAAAGAAATTTTAAAAGATACGAAGCTTCTTGAACCTGTATGCTGATGTTGGGAACCACCTCTCACGCCAACAATGACAGTCCTGCACAAACCCTTGCAACCCCACTGCCTGACCAGCTTACTCCTTTCAGAGCAAGCGTTTGGCTGCTGTTGGCACTGCAATTTGTGCAGATAGGTAAAAGCTCAGCACCAGCTCCAAAGTGTTCTTTTGTATCAGTGTAAGGCCGTAACACCTATCATGCTCTGTGAAGCATTGAAACAGAACAGGGAGGCTCTGGTAATTCTGCTCTTACAGCTGTGCTGGAGCTGTTCTGTCACCAACATTACCTCAGATTGCTCTAGGACATGGCTGCACCTCTCTTCCTAACCTAGAAGAGAACTACTGTGCATGGTGACTGTACAAAAGCATGGAATTTGGCCAGTAATGTCTGCCTTGAAGGGGAGCTCAGCTGATGGATAGAGTCAGAGTTGTTAATACCACCTCAGCACAGCCTTTTTTCCCCAGCAATTAGTGCTCAGCATACAGACCCTGGGGTATGATCTTAACTGGCAAGAAAATTCTTGAGGAAACCGAGACAGTCAAGGAAGAAGTAAGAGAATAATCGAGATCCTGGAACATTATGGCCACACTGAAGGAAATGTGTTGGAATTACTACAACATACAGGATGTCTTTAGGCCTGGAGGATCCCAGGGTGGGAGAAGAGGGGAAGAACTGAGCTGGAATTCAGAAAAAACAGCAGAGCAGTAGAATTACAGAGAGTGGGTTTCCTGACTTATCAGTGGATTGAAGGACTCTCCAAGCTGCAAGAGGAGGATTTGCGGTTGGACTTAGGGGGAGAGGCTGTCAAATGTACTGGAGAGGCAGTTAGGTCGAGCGCAGTCCCGAGTGCTTGACGTGCCGCCCATTTGAGATCAGAGCTGTTAAAATTTACCAGGGCAAAGAGAAGAAAAGAGACTGAGTAACAAAAGCAGAGACGCCACAAATTTTTGCCTTTCTGTGAAGGCCGGGCAGGCAGGCAGGTGCCAGCTGGCAGCAGGAGAGAGCCCCAGTGTCCCCCGTTCCCCTCCCAGCCTGACCGTGTCTCCTCTGGCCATGCTCTGCCCACGGAGCAGCAGCAGAACTCCTGCCTGTGCTGCTTCCCAGGCTCCCAGCTGACACCTGTGGGTGAGCGCTTCACACCAGGTGGCAAATTAGTCCCCATGGGGAATGCACAACCCCGGGCTGGTGGCTAATTAAACACCGAGCTCCCATGGGATGCAGCTGGTTTGATTTCTCGATTATTTGTTGGAAATGGGTGAAAAGAACGAGCTGGCACTTCAGGTCTCTACACGCTGCTGTCTAACCTCACAGCTCACAAGCAGGCAAAGGAAACATCTAGCAGCAGAGCAAAGGGCAGCTTTTCCTAGAGAAGCCAAAAACAAGCGTTGTCTTTCTTGCTGCCATTCTTCCTGCCTGCAAACAGCCAGCCTTCAGAGCACTAAGGCAGAAGGAAAAGGCCTCTAAAACAACACAAGATATTCTGCCTCTCCTAGAAGCCGGTGCAGCATCAGCCTTGAGTTTGAAGCAGTTTTTAAAACAAACTGGGAACAGAGGAGACAGCACCAGAGTTCTCCAAATCTGGCTAACAACAGATTTTTCCTGGAAGCTGCCGTGAGCCCTTGCTTAGCAGTTAGCCCAGTGCTGCTTCCCTGGCTTGTTATGTGCCTTGTGATGATCAAACCCTTCGTCAGCCAGCTTTCTTGCCCTCTCTTCTCCTCTATTATCGCCAATGATTTTTGTCAAATTTGTTTGAAGATCACCAGTTTGTCAAATTCTTCAGTTACACCACAGTAAGACAGAAGGGGATTTCTACTGCGTATTGCTTCCTAGGTGCTAGTTTCATCTCAGCACAGGAGTCTGTAGTTTTGGGTTTGGCTGCAGAGTACCGAGTGTAAATGAAGAAGGGGATTCCAGCAAAGTAAAGGAACTTTCCCTACTTCAGGAAAAAAACAAGATTTTGAAAAAGGAAGTTTAAAACTAATTTGCTTCTCTAAGGAAAGCTTAAGCATCTTTTTCTAAGTATATATTAAAAACAATTTACTCTTACCAAGTCTTTTATGTACTATTTACATTTCTTAGCTCAAATGTTTTCTATTGTTCTTACTCTTGATAGTAAGAACAAATAATGCTGCCAATGTGATTCATTATATCATTAGATTTTAAAATATGTAATGAGTTTCTTATAAAGACTAAAAAATGCAGATTAGTGGAATTCGTTATCTGAAAAATGAGACAAGTGTTAGTTAAAAGGCTGCTGCCTGGAGACAATTATTTTCAAACAGTCCAGCTAATTTAGCAGCATTCAAGCTAACAGTCCCAGTAACCACAGGGGCTGGGTCAGAAACATACAGCCACAAGTTGATGAGCTTTAACAGTCCGCATTATTTTCAAATAGGAATCTATTCTCTAAATTCCGAAGTGTTACTGATATGGTAAGAATGGTCTTGTTCCATAGCTGTGTTCTGCAAATCCGAGTGTTCAGTACTCTCTGACTGAAGGTCAGGATTTACTGGTTGCTATCAGTAAGCAGAGATTCATTGAAGTGTGTGACTCCTGCAGTATGCTCAACAGATACATAAATTAAAAGAAAAAAAACGCATAAACAGAAAGATTCTAATTTATCTGCCACGTGCCAAAAAAACTGAAGGATGAGGACTATTCATGGGCCCAGCTCTTGAAACATGCGAGTTCAGCAGGGCTTCCCAGCCAGCGTTGGTGTGCCCTCTCCCCATAAGACAACTGAATTCCTCGCAACCTTTCCCTGGTGCATCCTAATTAGGGTTTGTATTATGACCAAAAGAAAAATGGGGGGGAGGAAGGGAGAGGTGGGAGGAGAGAGAATTAGCAGCACCAAACAGACCCAGCCACAATTATATTTGCACAATTACTGCCATTTCCATGGCAACTCACTGATTTGACCTCTCTCCCACCGTGCACTACTGCTCAAGGAGACAGTGGGGGAGGAGATGGAGAAGTGCACAGGGCAGCAGAGGGTTTGTCCCCTGACTTAAAACAAAAACTACTTCTCAATAGAAGAGTTTAAAAATCATTAAAAGAAAAAGGGAAATCGCAAAACGATTCTCTGCAAAGCAAATGTAATGTTTCAGAGAACGAGCAGGAGACACCGGCGTGTTCACAAAGGACACCTGAGCACAACCCAGGGACCCGTGCCTCAGAACAACTCCCCGACTGACTGCTGCAGGCTCCCGGCTTTCCGAACAAGTCAGAATCGTAGCGCAGATGCTCCTACAGGAGCATGCTGGCTGCTCTGCATTTATCTTGAGGCAATGAGGAAATTCCTGGCCCTAAAGTTTCCAAAACAAAACTTTAGGTCTCTTCAAAATAAAAACATTCTGCCTTCCTAGTGAATTCAGTCCTTCGCACGCCTCCAGCTACCACTACGCACACGACCAGCCCCCTGCCCTGGGCAGGCACACAAGCATTCAGGACACACTGCAATTACTGTACAGAGCTCGTTACCTGCTAGCAGAAAAATTCCCTTCAGGATCACGCCAATCAGCACAGATTTCATGGCCGGCTCCTTGTGGACATTTGTGACAGTAAAGGAAGAAAAGTGGGGGTGAACGGGGGTGGGGAATGGCAAAAAGGCTGCACTGGAACGGCAGGACGTGTGTGAGCTCCCCGATGCCAGTCAGACAAAAAGGGATTGGAGATGGAACCGGCCAATATAGCAGAGACCTGCGCCGCAGCGAGATCTAATCCAGCCTTGCTCTAAACCTCCCCAGCTGGCCTCTGTCAGTGCTGACACGAAGAATGTGTATGGCAGGGGGTGCGCGCTGCATTACACTAATACCCTGCAGTGCCCGCAGCATTAGCGCCAGCAGCAGAGAGTCAGGAGACAATCTCCTGCCCTCACCACCCCTCAGGTGAATCTGCCAAGTTCCATCATCAAGGCCAAAGTACGGATTTTCCTTTTAACAGGCTAAGACCAAAAGCTGCGTTTCCATCCCCAAACCACACGATACGAGGAGTTCCAAAGGCAGCGCGCAGCCCCTGCTCTGCAGTGCTTTCATTGCCAGGACCAGGGGACCAACACTTTGTGCAGTTTTCTCCCTCCATCTGCCCCTTTCTGTGTGTCTGTGTGCACAAACATTTCCACTGGACAACAGTCACAAAGACAAGTCTCAAGGTTTAACTACCACAATCTGTGTCTCTGAAATCGAATGGAATAGAAGGAAATTCCCTGCTCCATGCTGAGTGCACCAGCTCAACCATGGGACTGCAGAATCAAAGCTCGCTCTCTCCATTAGCAACCTTATCAAATCAGATGTTGCAATTTCATTTTTTCCTCTGTGGATCTGGTTTTGGAAAAAAAAAAAAAAAAAAAAAGTGGCTATTCTGACACTGTAAAGTTTCTAGAAGAGGAACTGCACTTCCATGTTGTGAGGAACATGGAGAAGGTTGTTATTTCTGTGAAGAGATGTTATCTGGGAGCTTCTCCCCAAACTTCAGGATTCTGTTAGTATCAATTTCAGGTCCAAACAAACACAAGCTCCCAGAAATCAGAGTATTAGCAGTATGACTTTGCGGTATTAAAAGAAAGCATTCCAAGAACTCTGGCTGTTTGTTTACTTTCTTCTGAGTGAGCTCAGTCCAAACATACCAGTCAATTTCATACATATTTTAAGTGGGAGGGATATGGTGAGTATTTGTTTGGAGTTAAAACTTCCCAGATAGTCACAGCTGGTTGTATGTATGCATCGTCCTATCCCAGCCCCAATTTTAAATGCTATTTATAACAGCTAGGATGACCCTTCTGTTCCTGTTCAAGAGAAAACAAGAGTGGTGCTTGTTCAACTGTGCTCATTCAACTGTCCACTGCAACAATAAAGTATAACAGTGTGAAGACTGGAGAACATTACACCTCTTCAGGAAGATCCACGTTTTGATTTCTGTACACGCACAGGTATGCATTTACATACACACACAGCCTCTGTACACTGCTGATTGGAAATACAGATATTTAACTCATCCGTGTAGCACAAGGCAGCACAGATTCTGACCCCCTACTTGTCACTACATCTTTCTAGATTCATTACATTAAATATTGCTAATTACAGTCTGCAGTTGCTTCTATTCCCGGGGTCAGCTTAAGGATATGTACAGACTAGGTTCTGTTAGAGACATATCACGAGGATGGGAAAATCCACTGTCATGAAAATTCTAAATAGTACAATGATATGGAAGATAAAATACTTAAATACGATGTCTTCCAAACCAGCTTATAATGTTCTTTGAAACAGAAAGATTCTAAAGAAATTAAAGGATCAGGTGATATGTTTTCTAGATGTTTTAATTCCCCATTCTTACACGCTGGCAGTTGTGAGAGTTACAAGATTAAGTCACGCAGTTTAAATTCAGAGAATTATTTTGTACCTAATCATTTGTAAAAATTCTTGAGGAAGGTCAAAATAACGTTAAATATTTCAGAGGGTTTTTAACAGAAAAATGACAGAAAGTGGAATGTGATAGATAGAAATTTCCAGTTTTCACACATCTTCCTTCTGCTCAAGCAATTGAAATGTTTTAAAAATAGCCAAATTCTACCTAAGTGGTAACATGTTGCAGGTTAAAAGTCAGTTCTCTTTCCAAGCAGAGGCACCAGTCTTTCTTTTTGTCCTGGCCTAAACTATTGTATACGATATACATGATGGACTGAAATTATTCCTACATGTAAATAACTAATTTTGTCTTTTTTTTTCCTAAAAGATTGACGTTTCCTAGTATGCTTTTTCTCTTGGCCACAACTGACATAATTTCCAAGACTATGCAAGACTCTTCCTCCTTCTCACTTCATTTAATACCCATGAAATCTTTTAATTCACACTTCTTACATCCTCTCAGGGCACATCCTCTATAAAGCACAAACTAATGCGCTGGACTGACTCTTCAGGACCTATTACATACTTCTCCCAAGAACGAGGCACTGCTTCTGTGACAACCACATTTCAGAGAAAGAACTTTCTCATCTCCCTCCAATGCTGTAGCCTAAGACAGCACTGAGGCAGTTAATTTGCAAAGAATGAATTTCTCCTGACTTGCATTGTTATCCCAACACCCCCCAAATTCTTCAGATTGAAGGAAAAAAATGCCGAAAGAACCTCCTGCCGCCCCAAGAAAGCATTCCTCAGAGTAGCAAGTTCACTTTAATCAGCGGAGGCAGCTTAAACCCAAGTTCATGGCAGATCTAAGCTGCCACAGAAATGTGTTTGGAGCAGAAACGTTATGGGAAGCTTCACAAAGTTGTTCTGTGATCCTAATATGAAGTAATAAGCTGTTTACCCAGCATGACTGTACTGAGATTAATTGACAAAGGAGGGGAGATTAATTGCTATTATTTCCCTGTCAGCTTCACTCCTCCACATGCACTTGCTGATCTCACAGAGGCTGCTCCCAGCCTTTCACTATGTTAACGTGTCAGAACTACCTCAGCTGAAACAAAGTCCTTCACCAAAAGTAATATCCAGAAGAGCAACCTGCTTCTAATCCCCTTCAAGTACTAATGAACACAAATTTGATGCACCAGAATGAACTCCAGCACTCCTTTGCTCACCATCCTGTTCCTGTCAGCTTTTCCGCCTATGAGCATGCTAAGAATTGGAAAGGATTAAACAGATCAGTCTGGCAAGGCAAAATGAAATTCTGAACACTCTGAGGGGTACTGGGGCACTGCAGGAAGAAAAGGGAATAGGGCACGTACGTGAGAGGGAATTTTGACAAGTAGGATGAACGTTAAGCCATCACTTTGGACAAGATCTCAGTTCATGAGTGTAGCACGGTAACTACCCAAGAAGTAGCAATGCAGAGTTTAGGTAAACACCTATTTTCAAAAGCCTCACCTAAAAAAAGCATTTTTTTTCTTGGCCTAACCTACATCAGGAATCCAAAGCAAACCACATACACCACAAAACCATACAAAGAACTCAGCCCACTAACAGAATGCGATAACTACGAGTGGACTTGAGATTCTGAGAGTGAAAGCCCCTGTGTAATGGGGAAACAACTGTCCAGGAAACAACTGGACAGACTTACTCCTACACAGCTCAACCATTATGACTAGAGAGGGAAAACAGGAAACTCTCCCATGTAATAAGGACCTAAGACCCTGGAATGCTGCTACCTGCTATTCCAAGAAGTTAAAAACTTCTTTACTCAGGTTGGAAATTTTTCTTTTTTCCCCACGAGATGGCAGCCTAAGAACACCACGGAAAGGTTACATCCACATCAACGATGCACAAATGGAAGATTGGTGCTAGGGGCCACCTTCTACCTTCTTATAAACTTTCTTATAAACTATTTTGGTGTTAAATTGTTAAAAACAGAGAGTATATATAGAATCTGAAGATGAAGACGACTGAGAACAACTATTCTAAACTGAGATGAGGTTTAGTATCAGTCAGCAGCGCACCTTCCCAACAAAGCTGATGTGCAGTACTCACTATCCCCTGGTTTCTCAGCTAGAAAACAGAGACCCATTAGGGTCAGGAAGGGCATTTGCGTAAGAATCCAGACTCCCCACTCCCTTGTAAACAGAGGAGGCTTCATTTGCTCACATCACAAAGACCTTTTGACCTCCTAACATTGCAAATTACTGCCTTCAACCCCAAATCCCTGGCTGTTATTATCCAGGGGTGTTAGGGAATAGATATGTTTTACAGATGTTTTATGTGCTGGTGGATCCAACCTGCTACGATCAGTAGCTTGTGACATCCAGAGTTTTAAGTGCCTCTTTTTTTTTTTTCCATTTATATTTTTTTATTTGAAAGTGTTTTTTGTTCACATTCATCATGCATATATACAAAAAAAATAGTTCTCCTGGTGAATTTTCACTCCAGGATACAGGCCTGCTAGATGTAAGAGTCTAAGAGTCTTAGACTCTTCTACATAGTTGATGTTCTCTCTCAAAATCTAGTCCATAGTCTAATCTACTTGCTTGACCAAAATCACATGATTTTCTCATGGCATTTGAGCCCTGAACTGCAGAATTCCCTCTGCACAACTACTGAGCCCTCCACAATTTATCTCAGTCCTGCTTAGCAGCCTGGGCTACCCAAGGCTGGAGTCCAGTCCTGCAGCCAGGCAGTAATACAGCGACTCAGCATTAAACAGACTGACCTGATTCCAGCCACCCGCCTTCGCCAGCATTACCTGAATAACCTGGTAGGCAACGGCAAAGAAAGCCATCAACAAGGTCCATGCAGTGCCCTCCATTCTGACACGGCTGGGACTCACACTCGTCAATGTTCGTAAAGCAGGTCTCCCCTTTGAAGTGAAAACACAAACACCCATCTTGAGTGCACACATGCATCAGTGAAGGAGACGATATGAATGACACATAACGTTTTGCAGCTCTTTTTGTCACCTCAAAAGGCAGAAGAATTCCTTGAACTATAGCGTGTCTCTGCAGACACTCTGGCTAATAGATACCATCATTGAAACAATTCTGAAAAATGAAGTAAGGAAAGGTTGAGTGATTTGCCAGTGTCATGAAAGGGAGCGGAGCAGGATCAGAACTTCTGAACCATTTCCCTCTGCACAACTGTGGACCATACTCATTTTTTTCTTTAAAAAAGAATGAACTATTATTGCTAGCTCCTCTTTCCAGGGAATTTCCACAGCTCTTAAATCCATGTTTTAGAGTTATTTATAAACCAGGGAAATGGTGGGTAGTATTTCAGTTGAACATCATTTCTATCTACTCAAACCACAGGTGCAGTGAGGATGCAACATGTACTGCATAGTTCACCTGCAAAGCCTGGCTGGCACCAACACTGGAAACCAGCTGCTTGGCTATAGCTGAAATCACTGGGGAAGTCAGGTCGTGTTCCATAGTAGGACTGGTTGGATCGTTCGAGGCATACACCTCCGTTGTAACAGGGATCTGCTGCACATTCATCCACGTCCTCTTCACAGTGCTGTCCTGTGTAACCTGCCAGGAGACAGTGTAAACATCACGTACCACTTCACTAGAAGTGGTCACCCAGTTACTGTGGTTGCCTTGAAAGTGAGAATAAAAGCCAAATGACCCTACAGCTCATCAAGTAGGGAGTCTCAGAGTCCTCCAGTTTCTTCAGTATGTCAAAGGCAAGAGCCAGATAGCCAATTTGCAGAGAACTATTAATTATAAAATAAACATATGATGGGAAAAGGCAGAAAAGAGGCGAAGGGAAATTTTATGGTTGAGAATCAGTGTGCCTTTCTCAACAAAGGGATCGATTAGATCCTGGAATGAACTGTAAAGACAAGTGGTGGCAGCCTCACTGTTTTGGATAATCAAAAAAACAATCATGCTGGACCATGCAGTACAATTGTTCGTTCCTTTCTTCGTCAACAGGACAATTTATAATGCCCTCTCCATTGCAATGTGCCTACATGCTGGCATAACAGAATAGATTTCTAACCTACCTGGCCAACAGGCACAGCTGTAGTTCTTGATTCCTTCAACACACGTGGCATTGTTCAGACAGGGCTCAGAGGCACACTCCAGGATATCCAACTCACAGTGGTCCCCTTCAAAGCCTGTGTCACTGCAGTCACACTGGTAGCTGTGGGGCAACAAAACAGCAATGCAGAAGGCTCTTCATTTCGCTGCTGAGTCCCATGTGAGAAAAGAGCAAATGAAGCTGGAGTTCGTCCTCAAACCCACTTGTGGGGCAGAGGAAAAAGACATTTCCATCCACACAAACAGGCCATGCTAATGAGAGAGCAGACCAACCCCAGCAGTCTGGGAGCTCACAATGTCTGTGAAAAGGCAGATTCACACACACACAGGTATGTTCTCAGCAGCTGCTTTTGCTGATCAAGACCTGTAAATCACTTCCCTTTGCATCTGATATGTCAGCTGGAAGCAATAACAGGAGCCATCTTCTACCTTTCTTTGAGCATCCTAGGAGTTTTGCTACTGGTAGGGGTCCTCTCACATATTGCTATTAATCACTCTCAGGTACTGCCACTGGAACCACTGGGAGGTATGAAAGACTAAATCCAATTCTCCCAGTGGATGTCTACTCTAATTTGACAGGCTCCACTAAGCAGGACTTTAGATCAGTACCAGTATCTGACTGTCCAAACACTGATTTCTCACCTGTTAATGAGGTCATGGCATGTCCCGTTGTGCTGGCATGGCTGGCTCTCACACTCGTTGATGTCCACCTCACACTGGATTCCTCGGTAACCGGGTGCACAGGTGCAGGTGTAGAACCCAACGTGATCTATGCACGAGGCCCCATTCTGGCAAGGGTATGAAGCACATTCATCTATTTCAGCATCACAGTTTATACCTTGGTTACAAAAGAGAGAAATAACTGTGTTAAAAATCCAGCTAAGCATATCTGTGCTGCCTCCACTTCTGAGCTGGAAACACTAAAGCCATCAATCCTAAGGTTACCAACTCTAACTGGTTATCATAATGATCTTTTCTAATTTTGCCATAAGAACATTGGGAGCTTATGAACAATATGCGATTCTTACAAATTAAGGACCTTTAATTTTTACTTAGAAACAAAATTGTTTTGTTTAGGATTTTGGATTTCAGTCTTACAACAAAACTAAGAAAAGTTTCCAGAATTTATGAAGGTTTTGTTTCTTTCATTCAGATTCATTGAAGTAGTCAATCAATCAGCACTTCACAAATGACATCCATTTGCTGAATAAGCCATAAAATCTTGATCTTACTTGCATGCACTCCTTAAAAATCTAAGGACAGCTGTTTTGGCTGGGGATCCTTTTGGGGGAGGGAGGACAGGGATGAGAAAAGAAGAATCTCACTGCTAGTTAGCATTATTTAAACTTCTATATATGATATAACCCTTACACTTTTAGTTAGACATGGTACTCTTCACTTGTGTTGCGCTGCTATTTACCAGATCCAGTGTTCTACATCAGAGGCAGATGCATTTTGGGAATGGGAAAAGTGATCTCTACCTGCTTCTCCAAAACACTGTTCCATTTATTTAAATAATATTTGTAACTTGCTTTGAGATACCTGGGAAAAAAGCATTAAAGCAATGCAAAATGCTAATGGCAGTGATGCTAGGTAATAGTAAGCCATCATATTATGAAACATTACCAAAAATTAGGCATTAGCTGTTACTTGTGAAGAGTATTAAGTCAGGCATTTTTGGTCTAAAACCTCAGCTTTCACTGACAGAGTAAGACCTGCCATGCACACTGCTCTGCAGCAATCTTGCTGTACTGTATTCTACCACTTCAGGCTGTCTGTGGCCTGACATCACCTCCAAACATTAGTCATCGCAGTGGCACCTGCCAATCCATCTAATCTCTCCTGCTTGGTAAAGGCTAAAAACATGGACAAGGCCATCCTAATCCTCAGGAATGTGGGCCCCCTAAGCTGCTGTTTCAAACCTGTCAATACCCATACAAAACTTCCTTCACCCAAATTCTGGCTGAGAACACCAGGAAACAACCTGCCTTGGCAGCCAGTGGTGGCAGAGCCTCTGAGTTCAGGATGAAGTACTAGGCTCGTACACAACATCAGAGTAACTCAGAGAATGAACTCCTCCAGCTACCTGGGTTATTTTATCACTTCCCTGGCAGGGGAATCCCACAATCCTTATTTGAAGATTCAGGAAAAGGTATGGAAGAAGCTGATTTGCAAAGAGTTTAATACTCAAAATCAGTGGTAATTGTAAGGCCTACAGAATTCTGCTTTTTTCCTCCCTTGGCTCTGTTCAGTTTTATCAGAGAGTGACTCAGCATCACTGACCGTATTCCTGATGTTGTAACTTCTCTTCATTCCACTGGTAATCAGCAGCATTCCTTCGCAGCAACCTAACTCTTGAATCACTTCAGTCTGTGTCAGTGAGGAAGGCTGAGAAAGTTCACGTGCTAAGTGGTACCAGGCAGCCATGGGCGCAGCACAGCCGCATTCCTCTCCGATAAGCAGGGCTAGAGAAAGGAGAGCCCCCGCTGCCTCCCTCACAGATAACTCACAGGTGGAGATTACTCTCTGAGTCACCATTAGCACAGATGGACATAAAAGGGATACTTATGCCACATCCCAAAAACATTCTCCAGACATCAAAGAACTGGAAAAGAAATCTCCACCTAAAAGCCACTCTCTTCCAAAAAAGCCTACTCCCCTCAGACAAGTCCTGCAGGACAGGACAAAGAACTACAAGTCAGACTTAGTTATGCCTGTTGGGACTTAGTTATAACACTAAGCGTACTCTTCCTGATACTAAATCTCTTTCCTTGTACATCTCCTGTAATTTCCTACTGAAGCTAATCACATCTCCTTGGTATCTAGCACTCCTGGCTCAGGCAGCGCCCCCACCTTCACTCTTATATCCGTGTCTCTCAACATCCACACCGTCCCTGGAAATCAAATTCTCAGCTACTGCCTGGGAGCCATGAAAACAAGCACCATGCCATCATTCACACACAGGACAAAACACTCAAAAAATCTGAGTTGTGCGTCAAAGACTCAGCTGTAAAACAACAGCTTCTCAGGACAGCTCCTACCACGACCAGGCACGTTGTGGAGCACCACGAGCAGTGAGATGTAACCCAACCACCAGGCCAGTACACGAGCATGAAAGGTACCTGTGTAGCCAGGGATGCACTTGCACAAATAGTGATCCATCTCATTCAGGCAGGTGCCATTGTTTTTACAGGGCCGGGACGCACACTCGTTGATGTCTATTTCACAGTTGTATCCTTGGAACCCAGGCACACAGAAACAGCTATACTCATTCACCCTGTCTCGGCAGATGGCTCCGTTCTGGCACGGGTTGGAGGCGCACTCATCAATGTTGTCTTTGCAGTGGGCCCCGGTGAAGCCAGGCTGGCAGATGCAGACATAGTCCCCAGGACCCTCAACACACGTCCCGTTATTTAGGCAGGGGTGGCTAGAGCACACAGAGCTTTCTGTTTGGCAGCCTTCTCCATCCAGTCCTGTTCGGCATTTACAGGTGTATCCATTTATACTATCTACGCATTCAAAACGAGGATCTTTACAGGGGTTGCTCTCGCACTCGTTAATATTAATGTCACAATCACTACCTGTAAAGCCAGGCATACAGATGCACTCGTATTCCAGGAGTCCTTCGGTCCTGTTGCAAATGCTGTGGGCAGGGCAATCATGTTTGACGCATGCATCATAGAGAATTTCACAGTTTGTGCCTGTGTAGGCTACAGGCTGCACGGGGCAGGTGCACTGATAACCCACTTCCAAATCCTTGCAGCTCCCTCCATTTTCACATGGGGATGATGAACAGCTGCTGTCATTTTCAGAGGATGAAGTTCCTGTTGAGAAAACGGATGCTGTATTAGTCGGCATTAAGTAGCCCTACAGAAGAAAGTCCTTCTGCTGATCACCACGTGCATCTCAGAGGGTGCCACCCTACAACCTTACACAGTAGGAAGTCTTTAGGTGTTAGGAGAAGAGCAGAGATGGATGAGGTTCATGCTGATGGCCCTAACTATCAATATCTGCAAATTTAATTCATATAAACAAGATTACACAGGTACGTGATAGAGAGAACAACAAAAAACATTCAATGTGTGTATTTGTCAATGGGGAATGGCGGAAGAATAGGGGGGATCCTCATTTCTTTTCCAAATGAAATTTTAAATACACTTTGTGAAATGATCTAACTGGTCAAAGGCCCAGGGAACAAAGCTAACTGCCTTGGTATTGGAGTTAGGATACATGCCCTGGACTCGATGACACAATGATATACTTGCAAAAGAAAAATAAGAATAGTACAAAGGGAGAAAGGCAATGCAGACAGTCCCCCCTCACAAAGACAGCAGTCATTAGCTTCCCATCCCACTGCAGCTTTCTGGTATCAGGCAGCTTCTGCTTTGGTTCCCATTACAGGATGCACAGGAGAGAAGCTGAGGGGCAGACCCCAGGCTGGTTCCCACATAGCTGTTACAAAGCATCTGACATGGAAGTAACTCTGCAAACAACTATACCGCAGGTGTTTTGGAAAAAACACTTCTCTCTTGGAAAAATCACTTCTTTTTGCATGCCATGCTCTGCCATTTTTGCTGTCGTGTGTGTACCTGCGTGCAGCCCATGACAGGTCCCCAGCCACCGGCAGAGCACGTGCAGTTACTCAAACCAGGCCCGCAGAGCTCTCAGCACCGCAGCTCACTGCCCCCGGCCCTCGCCACGTTTCTGCCAGCACGGAGAGGTTTCGGTGCGCTGCGCTCCACGCTGAGGAAGTGCCGGGGTCACACAGCACCACCACCACCGCACCCCTTCTGGGCTGACCTTAGTCATTCTCTCATTCGTGCCATCACCCCCCCAGCCCATTTTTGGTTCTGTTTGCCGTGCCCTGGTGCACCTCCTACACAGCCAGCAGTTAATCTGCATCAGTGGCTTTCTGTCAGCTCCCGGCCCCATCAGCTCCCCGGTCCCTTTGTGCACGAAGGTGGAGGCATCCGGCTTTAGGGCCTGAAAGGGATTTAGAGGAGACTTTGGTTTACAAAAGCCTGCCCCTACCCTGACCTCCCCCTAATTCCTCCCACCGAAGGACTGTAGTGTTTCTAAGTCTTCTTTTAAGAGGCAGTGCCGATGGGGGAGGGAGGGTGCTCAGGGATTTAGCCGGGCCCCTTCCCCTCCTTCCCAGCATCATCCCCCCCGCCCAGCCTCCCCTTCCTCTCCCATGTGATGCCGGGGATTGCTGCTGAGCGTGCACTGTCCAGCAGGCTCATTATTCTGCCGTGAACCCTTTTATTCTCAGATTCCCAGTCAGGCAGAAAACAAGGATGACGGAATCTGCCTGGAATCCCTGTAGCAATTAGAGTGGGAGCCCAGGAAACCATTCCCAAAAGCTTTCCTAGGCAGGAGATCCGAGCCTTTGTACGCTTAATGAGGAGCCAGGCCCAGCCCGTGCCTTCCAGAGGCCAGGAGCCTGTGACAAAAAGAGCCCAAGCCCACTGCGTGCTCAGGACAATTTCTCTCGTTTGCAGCACAGGAATTGACATTTCCACAGTCACCCCAGCACTGCCAGCGTAGACTGGCTGCAGTCACTGCAAGGACTACGTGCACTGTTCTGTTCCCATTATAAGCAGACTGGCTACATGTTTCTTGCAAATAAAGTTAAATAGCAAATTCCTTCGACATTTCCTGTCGTCTCCAAAGCCCTTTCACAGCACACGTACCTCTCGGTCCCCCCTCTGATTTGGTTCATCACACGGCTGCAGTGCTCGCTCACCTGGGTTAGCCGCTAAAGCCTGTCCATGGCACCAGAACTGGGTGAGAACTGCACGTCCCCACCTGTGCACACTTGGAGATAAAACAGGGCCAAAGAAATACCAAGTCCAGCAAACATGAAGCTTCACTAAAAAGTCCAAAGGCCCTCCTTGGCTTACCAAAAAAAGGCAGAAGAGAGGGAGAATCCCAACTCCTCTGCAGTCACTATGGTTGTGAACAGCAGCGGCAGCTACCTTGCTATGTGTACTCACAACCAGCTGTACCTTCCCGTCAGTTATGTGCAGGATTGCAGAGAGACAGGTTCACTGCACTGTTACTGGATTACCTTTAGCTACTTGTGACCAAATGTTTCCTGAGTTACGTCTAACAGTGGTGACTTCAGCAGGACCTTACTCTGCAGAGAAACACTGCCTTTTTGGATTTGTTATTAATGAACGCTCTGTGTTGTCGCATTGCTCCAAAGCTTCTGATTCCATCTGTCAGGGGTCTCCATGGTTAGCAAAAAAAAATTCTGCTTTCTGGATTTAATCTTCTAATTGTAAATTTAAAACATTCGTGGCCTCAGGCAGAAAAGGCAGCTGGATGCACTGAGTGCTGAGCCAAGTTGAAAGTAAAAACCCTCTTCACTACTTGATCTTTCTAACTAGTCTCAGCTCGGGCTGAATACAGCAGTGGTCATTAAAGCACCGTTGCACCTTTGGAATTTAATATCAAACAGGTAATTAGTAAAGGCTCCTTTCCACTCCACTTTAGCCCCCATGAGAACTCTACCTGGAGATGCTTCAAGCACAGCACTGGCACCTTTCCACATCAAAAGATGAATGTTACCTGTGTGCATCAATTAACCTCTTCCCTTAGCACCCCGCTGCTAGGCAAGGAGACAGGTAATTACCAGAGACAGCAAAGTTCTCAAAACAAGAAGGAAAACACATTTCTATTTCCATCTCCTCCCCAAAGCCTGAATTGCCCCGCGAAGCTAAGCAGCTGGCCTCTGGCAGGGATGCCCAGGCAGCCAGCCACACTACTACTGCAATATTCCTGGACAAAACATGACCCCATGTAAATATAGCACAGCCCTAACATCCATCCAGTTGCAATGCTAAAGTTTTGGCTAAATACTTTGTCACAGAGGAGACATTACTCTTCAGCAGAATTTATTACAAAGCAATCTCAGAAAGGGGGAATTCAGCAGTGAGAAGTGAGAGGAGCACTTGTGGCATCACCAGAGAGCTACACATGGCCTGCAAGAATCCAGTGTCCTGAACGGCTATCAAGGATGGAGGCTGCCACCTACACTGAGAACAAGTCTGATTTTTTTAGCTCAGTTTTTGATATTTTCATCAATCAGCCCAAGGGCATACAGTAATTCCTCTAAATTTTGGAATAAATTACTACGTGAATGTGAATTGCATATGAATATGCAACAAACGCTAATGAAGCATAACAAATGAATTAGCGTTTCCTGCTGCACCACATCCATGTGACTGTAAAAGCAGACACTTCAGACCATGCTGTTTTATGACAATTGTGAAAATAAAGTCAAAAGAAGTCACTGGAGTTTACAGCTTTCCACAAAAAGTTTCTGTTGCTAGTTCAACAGTGACATTCAGGATTTCTCCTTTACCTTTCACAAGAACATTACAAATCAGTGATGTTTTAAAGTGGAAAAACAATGACCACTATATTGCAGTCATGCCATCCTGCAGCTCTACGCTGGAATGAAACTGGAGAAGACACAGTTTCTTTGAAGAATATGTTCCAGGCATTTAGGGGTGGATTAAGAGGAACTTCAAAGGCTATAGAGTCAGATATAAAGCATTCCTTGAGCTCTGTCAGGATAGGTCTGGTTTTGCACTTTAAAAGAAGCTGACAAAGGTTTTCCCTAGAAGAGGGGGTTTGTGACCTTTTGTATCACTTTAAGGCAAATGAGCTGCTTTTCTGGGCTTTAATAATTGGCTTTAATAGTTTTATACTTTATATCTTTATTAAATATTCTTGTCAAAGGGCAGTTGCAACAGCCAGCTTTATATCTATAAAATAAGAAATCAGCAATTACTGAGATACAGGGCAATCTTGTTTTTAAAGCCCACAAGTTGCAGTGAAGTGACTTCTTTCACAGATTGCCCTCCGTTCTGGTATTTTGTTAGCACTACCAGCTGAAGGCACCCCTTAACTGGCACTCTAGCACGTACTCACTGACAATGATATCATGCCTCCCTGATAACTACCTTCGAGGTGCTCTTAGCAGTCACTTAAAATTCCAGCAGGGAAGTGGCTGTGTTAGGTTATCAGCCCAGAGACCGTCTTGTCTTCTTCACACTGAAGGACAGCACTGACATGTGACTACTGTCATTTGTTTGGCTTTTAATTATATTTAATGCTTCATTCAAATGGCACAACGTCATCTCAACACACACTAGAAAATTCCAAGCAGTCAGCGGCACCTCCCTGAACACCTGTGCACACATGTGCCCTGCACCCAGCACGTTTTCACCTGACGACCACCTCTTACTAATGCTCCCAATCCTAGACACAAATGCCTTATGAGTCAGGATGCCAGAAAATTATTACCTGGCCTGGCAAAAACTCGATGTGAGCTTAGGCAGGCCAATTCCATTTTCCTTATCAGATTGCCCAGCTTATACAATAGATACTATTACACATTCTCACAAGTCTCCTCTAAGATTAAATTATTCCAAGCCTTTAATGCTCTGCGTCAAGAGGTATTACAGAATTTAAAAGTTAGATTTTTCTCCTCTCTCTGACATGCTTTATTTCTGCACATAATATAAGTATCACAGCTGCCTATCACAAGGAGAGGTGGTCACAGAAAAGGGTGCATTTTGTTCCTGTTTCTGGATTCATACCAACACTACCAAATGCATTTTCCCTAGTTCCAGGATGTGAAACTTGCCCTCTTCTACACCTGCCAGGTATGGCTTTGAGCATTCCCAGAGGCCTGAATCACCTCTGGAAACAGACAATGCCCAGCAGAAGGTAGGCACTGGAGCCCAGGGTAACGTCAGATTGGGTACTTTACCTGGCCTAATTATGGGAGCACTAATGATAGAAGGAATTGTCTTTCCTACCTTTGGGTCAATTTGAAGTGGGGCTTTTTGAGACAAAAGGATGAGAACCTAGCCTGCATGGCTCTAACTTTTGTCATCCCCCTCAGCCTCCCTCTCCCAGAAGGCCAGCAGGGATGCGAAATGCCATGGGGAAGCTGCAGGGCTTTTGGCAGGGAACCAGGCTCCAGGAGGAACCAACAGCCTCACCCAGGTCCCACGCCAAGCACGGGTCGGGAACGTACAGTCAGCTCCTGGAGGAGCAGGGCTCCTACAGCGGGGAGAAAAGAGTTTACACACTTCATCTCCTAAATTAGCACTTTTGTTTTCTATTATGCCATTTGCATCAGATAGGATTTAGGCATATTCTCTTAATGATGTACTTTGGGAAAGGACTACTTCATGCTTACAAGTCTTACTTTCTGTTTCCAAAGTTACGATCCGTACATGGAGCATTACGTATGTTTGTGCATGGATCTGCCCTGTTGAATTCCTTGGCCTTCATGCTATTTTACATCTTACCCCCTCTGGTTGTCATCATTCATGAAAAGGTTTGGGAGCCTTGTGGAGAAAAGGGCTTCCTTCAGGCGGATTTCACCCGCCCGCTCACTACAACAACTCAAAAAAAGACAGATTACAACGGAGAGGAGAGAAAAGCAGCCTTCCCAGCAGCAGCCCCTGGCTGCACCGCAATGGCTGAGCTCGAGGAACCTTCAAGAGCCTGAGGGGAGAAGGCTCAGGAGCCCACCCCGATGTGACTCCAGCAGGGTTCCCGCTGACCACCCTGGCACGTTGCCTGCTGGGGAAAGGCAGCGAGGCCGAAGGTAGAGAGGAGCCCTCCACCCCGGGTACCCAAGAGCTTAGTTAGCAGTTGTGTCACCCACTGAAGGAATGGAAAGAGTTGGGTTTCCATGCCAACAGGAAGGCATGTGCTTATATTAGTAAATCCCTGCCGACCTCTGCTGATCTTTCCCTGTCCTGGTCAGTGTTTGGGATTAGTGACAGGGTGCACACCACCGCCTGCTCCCAGGTCCCACACAGCACAAGGAGGCCTGGGCAGTCTGAGGGGGGCTTTGCTGCTGCTTGCCCTCCCTCCCCCCAGGCTTGCTAACTGCAGCGGGTGAGCCTATCTGCCAGGGAAGGCAGCAACCTTCCCTGACAAAACCCAGTCCTTCCCTAGGAAGAGCCTTCAGTTTACCTGCCCTGGGGGCACACTGCCCCTCTTCAGGTGCTTTTTGCATCCTAGGCCCTTAGAAGCCCCACGTTGTTGTTGGCACAGCAGAACGCTGCCATCCTCAATACAAGCTAAATTTTGAGGTGTTTAGCATGGGGGAGAGTGAGATTAAGCCCCTTCTCCCTGGGCACAGTCAAAGCACGTGCTCCTAGTAATACCAGCACCAGAAAGCAAGGCCCTGGCATTCTCTGAGACCACTGCCGAGCTTAGGAAATGCCAGCAACTGGCACTGATTTCACTTGACCTGAAGTATTCCCTAACTGATATTCCTTCTCCTGTTTGATGAGGAAATGGCCATCTTTCTCATGACCTGTTTGATGTTTTAACACAGCTATGAAGATGTACCTCCCACTATCTTTCCTCTGGAACCTAGAGAAAGACACAGGCTATAAATAAATGGGTTTGATAGCGTTGCATATATTGCCACAGTAACTCTTTGATCTGTTCTTACAACATCCCCGTATTTCCCCTCCATAAACACTCCTCCAAGCTGACCTTCATGGCTTACACTTCTCTGATCTCTCAGCCATTTCCACAGATCAAATACTGAGACGGGGGTTTCCTGCATGGCCAGTTAAATAAAATGAGTCATAAGCTTTAATTTCCAATTCTAATTTAAATTTACTGGCAATCAACAGAGTTGAAAGGATTGCATCTCTTTGTTTCCGTGTTTAAAAGAGCGTAAGGCTTAAACTGGCTGGATGTCCCAGCTAATCTCAAGAGCTCGCGTTAGAGCAAACAGCAAACTGCCGGAAAAAAAGTTTTGTCTGCACGTGTTCTCTCTCAATAGGCGCCCAAAGCATTTTACAGGCCAAAGGTATGTGAGTTACTGTGCTTGTTGTTGCCTGGAGTTGTGGAAACAGAGAGGAGTAGACACTTGGTTCTGCTCTCCAGAATATACTTTCCAACACACCTTAGGCTGAGAGCCGTCCTGCCCATTACGCAGCAAGCAGCACTAAAAGTGCAGGCACATGCGGAGGCTCCTCCACTCTCCCCCCGGAGTTTATGTTAAACAACTGGAGATAGCGTGGATCTGGGAGCCGGGTGGTCTTGCAGTTACAGCTTGCAACTGGCCATTGAGATAACCAGCACCATAACTGGATAATTTGGCCATTCTGTGCCTCCATGGTATTTTGACTCAGCCCATTAGAAATCACAAAAGTAGTCTTATGCCTCCCAAGGGCAAGAAAAGGCATTTCCTTATGGCCTTAAGAGCTCTACAGGTGCCACATAAATACCACCAGTCATACAGGTAAAACCTGGCTGAACTCCCCTTGCAAAATAGGAGCAAGTGTGGAAACCTGGGTTTGTCCTTCAGCTTTACTGGCTACGTTGGTATGTCATCCACCATCCAAAAGAAAAGGACATTCTCAGGAAAATACTGTTCCAGAGAAGAGCTTCACCCAGAAGAGGAAAGTTATCGGTGCAGTTGCCAAACAGCACCAACCCCCAAGCCCATGCCAACTCCAGCAGCCACGTACGGGGTCTGTGCAGCCTAGCCGGCCTTCCCTGCACAGCACAAAGGCTCCATGACTGCCTCCCACTTCAAACCAGTAGCTATGGTTACTAGATACAAAAGACAGTCCTGCTGCTTCCCTGTGGCCAGAGGAATTCCAGGCACTTGGAGCCAACCCACCACACAAAGAAGCTGGTAGGAGGGAAAAAAAAGAACCCAGAAACAACAGAGTTCGACTTTCATATTCATGGTTGGAGGTGATCACAGAAAAGTCAATTTAGGGAGGCTTCAGAGGAAGAAAAAATAAATTGTTGGGGAATAGAAAGAAAGCTGAAAAAGGCCATAAACATCACCCACTAGTGCAAGAAACACCCAAATGCAGCATCCAGCAGGTATGAGCACAGAGAAGGCACTTTGATTGTAATTTTATCTTTACTTTTTCACACCCTTGTTCATTGCTGTTCTATCTGAGTGGCAACCAAAGAGGACTTGTATATACATGTATTGGCCTGGCGATGCTGAGAAGAGCATAAGGAGGCCTGTTCAATCCCAATCATATTTTCCAGTAAAAGGTTGGACATGTTCCTGACACGACCTTATAATCCCTAGATGACTAAAACAGATGTCTAGGCCCAGCAGATCTCCAAGCACCCAATTCCAGAAGAAACAAATATATATTTTCAGGGACCATAAGGAATTATATACAAGGGTGACTTCTGAAGCCCAAAGACACATTGCTTTGGAGCTGCAGGACCCCAGTATGCTCAAGTATGTTCTGTGGCTATAAAGTAAGTTTTCAATGTGGAAGAAAATACTAAAAAAATCAAGCAACCGACCAATAACAACAAGCAGCAATGTTGTTACCTCATCACCTCGTTAGCTCTTCTGTTACCTCATCACTTCTTGCACTTTCAGGACAGATCTACTTTCTTCAACATCTCTAAGAGAAAACTCATGCACTGTCTTCTTCCTCCACACTTTGCACCAGAGATACCTGACACTTGAATGTACTGCTGTACTCCCCTAGATACACTCCTCTCTTGCCTTGACATATTTCTGAAGGATACAGACTGGGAATAAAGCTGTGTTTCTTCTGTGTGGGCACAGCTGTGAAATTTAGAACTTTTCAGTGGAGCAAGTGGTTATTACAATAGCTGAGTACTTCTTTACACGAAAGTGCACACACTTTTAGCTCTAATGAATAAATGCACTCACAAGTGCATAGGGAGAAGGACAAAAGGAGACAAGAAATAAATAGAGGGAAAAGCTTATCTAGAATCAAATGTCTTTTATCTTCCTGACAAGAAGTTTTCAGGCTCCCAATCTAACCATGACAGTGGCATTTCGTTCAGTTACGTTTGCAATACAAGCACAGATCACAGACCTAATCTAAAGTTACCGCACATTATCTGGGTAAGAATCAGGCACAGAAGACAAAAACTTACCCCAAAACAGGAGGAAAAGTGGCAGCAGGAGCGCAGCGCTGCACACCTTGGATGTAGTTTTCTTTAATTCCATGACAAGTCTACGCGTGGCTGTCGTGAAAGCCTCCGGGAGGACCGGCGGCTGCAGGTCAGGCACAGAAGCTCTCCCTACATCACGGGCTCTGCGGCACCCCGTCCATGTCCATGCTGTGCCGGAGCGGGCCCAGCACTATGGCTGTGGACAGAGTCCCCGTGCGCCCTGCAGCGCTCCGCTGCCTTGCCGAGCACAGGGAAAACGCTGCCTGGATCGCCTGGAGCGAACTGCCGGGGGCACAGCTCCGGCCCCACGGGCACCCCGGCGCTGCTGGAGGCCAGAAGGGGCAGGACCCCGCGGGTGGCCCCGGCTTGTGGCTCCCCTGCACTCCCCGGACTGAGGAAGGACACGAAGCTGGGAGCTGCACGGCTGGGACAGGAGCCCAGCGCTGGGGGTGGGTGCGGGTGCTGTGTCAGGCACTGTCCACTGTTGCAGGTGAGGACCAACAAGGACCTTCCAGAAGGGGATGACTTGTCCAAAGAGAATATAAGCCAAAAGACACAAAAAGCTCACTAGTAATTCCAAAGAGCAGAGACATCAGTCCTCACGGCTGCCTCGTGAGATCTGTGAGCCCCCGAAGCACACAAACCCCTGAGACATACACGAGCCCTCTTCTCTGGTTAGGGAACAGTCACAGAGACCAACAGACACGGCCGTGTAACACAAGCACCAGATCACACCCCCACATTTACATGCATGTGCTTAGAGTTTTACAAGCAGAAAAAATTGTCAGGGTCCATCGTTTTTTGGGAGCCCCTGGAAGCAGACACAGCTCACGCTCAGTTGTGACCTCCTAATTACCTCAAATCCACATCACAATTGGATTAAATTAACCCTAATGAGAATTACGTACACTGCCTCACCCCTCCAGTGACAACTAAAAATAGAAGGCAGGTAAGATGCCGTACGAGCTTAAAAAAGCAGCATGAAAGAGAGCAAGGAGTCGGCGCGGACAGACCTGTGCTGCAAATCCATTGCAGTGCTTCATCAGTTCTCTTCCTTTCCAAACTCTTAACAATACCTGTGCCAGACTTGGAAAGCAAGTGCAGAAATTGATGAAAAAATAGTTCCTGTTTTGGACAAGTTCTGTACTAAACCATGGGCTCTTTCCCACAGGTGTCCTACCATTAAATACAGGTTACCAGTACCACAAATAGGTCCCAGCTGCAAACTATCAAGGTAAAGAATTCAACAACCCCCAGAGCAAGCTCAGGTTCATGCAAACCTTCACCAATTTTAACTTAAAAATGCAGGATAATGTGGAACAAAATAAACACGCTTCCAAGTTGCAGTCAGTGCTCCGTATATTCTAAAGCTAAAACTAAAAGCAAAGGTAAAACTAGGGGTCAGCCTCTGGCAGGGTCTCTGTGACGTTTGCTGTGCACAAAGGTGTATGCGAAACTACAGCAGGGGTTCAGACAGAGCTGTGAGACTGCCCTGTGCTTCTGCCGTTACTGCCATGTTTGTCCACTGTGAGACCTTTTATGGCAGGAAAAAAATAAAGGCAACCCCCCAAGAATCTGATGAAAGCAACAGGAATCCTGCACTGAGCAATTTACACTGGCCAGGCTGATGGCCAGTGTGGGGAAGTGGCTGCTTACCACCTTGTTTTTACCTTCAGCGAAGGCAGAACAACAGCACGGGCATTTTCACCAGCGGCACACCACAGTTTGGTAACAAATGCTTCACCTCACTACCCTGCCTCGGATCGCTCCACAGATGATGCATCGTGTAATCAACCTTATCTGGACCACCCTGCCCCCACTGCCAGCTCTGGTGTCTCCGCTCTGTTTTCTCAAGACCAGCCTCAGCATCGTTTTTTTTTGCCAGCTACGGCAGCCATCTGGAACTCATTTCTCCCTCCTTAGATTCTCATTTTGCTGCCAGGGGATGTAACCAAGCACTCACGTGCAGAATCTTTCTGCCCAGAATTTTTTGCCTCACCTGGGTGAATGATGCTGCCAAGAGCTTGCCTTGTCAAAGCAATACGTGCGAACCCACTGCACGGCCACACTGCAAGGAGCACCACTCTTCCTCCGCCAGACACTGCCCCTTCTCCAAGCTGAATACTGCAATGCTCCACAACTACCCACAGTAACTGCTGGTTCACGTGTCTACCTGCAGGCCATGCATTGTTCATACAACAGAGGCAGTGTAACCAACTGGTAGAGGCCTTCCCCCAGAGGCTAAGGTCTCACGTGCTGCTGCGGCGGGGTCCTGACACCCCTGTCGGAGCCACTGACTCCTGAAGACCTGGTACCTGCCAGCTAGACTCAAAGAGCAGAACAGTTTAGCAGAGGCTGAACAATTAAAAAAACTTGAGAGGAACATTCCTGGTGTCCCTCAGTACATTTCAGACAATGTTAACTGGTAGCACATCTAAGAGGTCTGCGGGGACTTAAGGCTCATTTAGCCCAAGCTACCAAAGCCTGCATAGGTCAAGACATCTGCTTCATTATCCTAAGTAAAATACCTTAATCCGGCATCCACCTATGCGGATATTAGAAATTAATTTTTCAACAGTCACGCTTGCAATTGTATGGGATTTTGCCAGCATAAATGGCAGACCACTTCTGTGCTGGGCCCTGGGGCATACAGCAACCAGTGCAGGTATTAACCAGCTTAGTCCAATTAAAGGACTTTAATGCAACTCTGTTAAGGCCCTGATTTGTTAGGCTTGACTACATTTCCAAAGAAAGAGCACAATTGGGTGGATTTGTTATCTAAAGAATAAGCTCCAAGTCCTTAGTCATCCTTGCTAAAGCCTTCCCCACACTGGCCATGGTTTGTGCTACCTCGGCACTGCTGCAGCCCAACGCCAGTATAATCTGCTCTTTAACATAGTATTAAAATTAGAGCCAAAGGACACAGCTGCTTTCGTCTGTGTAACACTCATTACGAGAGACTTAAGGACAGCGTAACAGCGAGGCTTCTATTCTCAGCAAGCAGGCAGGGAACTTTGCAAGCCGGAAATGCATGCCAGGAAAATGGGGCAGCAGCGGGCAAGCTGGATTAGGGAAAAGGAGAGAGAAGGTCTGGGGTACCCTGCAGAACCTTGCTGTTTTCTGTATTACCTCCTTTTCTGCACACTTTTCAGAAAACAATCTTACACATTTCTCCATGAACAGTTCACAATGAATGCACAGCAAAGTACCAGAGCAAAACAGCCTGTGCTTTCCATTCCAAGAACTATGCAAGGTGGCATGGTTGCACTATTTTTCCTCACACAGGGCTTAAATAGTGCTAAAATTACAGACCGGATACTAGAGACTACACGTGTGAGGTGACAGTCAGTACCACAGACAGAAGCTGGTAAGAACAGGGCCATCCACGCCTCCTTTCTATGCACATGAGGTACTTGCCACAGAGCCTCACCTTCCCTCCTTCCAGTTCTGGAACCTCACTGAACAAAAATTTCTGCTTTTCTGAACTGAGCGATGCAATCTAACGGGATCAGAATCTTCTAATTTTTTTCATCAGCTTCCTCTGAGTGTTATTAGGCACAACCCTCAGTGACTGCAGGCCTGGTACAAGGGAAGTTAAGCTGGTTAAGAAGCAAATGTCCAGTTCCACTCAAAACAATTGTGAGAAAAAATCACTGCTTTGGTACACTCCTCTGCTCTCAATCACATCTGAGAAGTGCCAGATATATTCAAAAAGACTTAAAGTTCTCAAATTTCAAGTTTACAGACCCACAGGCCAATTCTGCATACGGAAGGGTTCAAAGACCTTACGGTGATGTAATGCTTGAGGGTTCTCGGGGGCCCAGTCTCTCAAAATTCGCTCTTTCTTGCAAATAACAATTACCCTTAGAATTCACGTCACCGCTTTTCCATTTGGCCACTAGATGTCCCTTCTGCACTGCATGAATTCAAGCAAGGGCCACTGTGTGAGAACAGGAGTTGAAAAGAAATTCCTGTCCCAGCAGCGCTGTCAGCCCAACGCCAGCAGGCACAGCCTGCAGCGCGGCAGGACGGTGCCAAGCAGCACAGAGAACGCTCCGCGACCCGCTGCAACACCCCCACGGCAGACGAGCCAAGCTTTGTCTGCAAATCAAAACCTCGAAGTTGCTACTCAAAGTTGGGAACAACCACACAAAATTTACTCTCTCAAGACATACTGACATGTAGAAATATGAAGGATGGTCAGAGTTTCTGACCCAGTCTCACTTCCCTGAACACAGCAATTGATTTCAGATAAAACTGCGGTGTTAAGGCAGAGGAGCAGACCTGTAAAACAGAGGCAGAGCAAATATGTATGGGAATTTAATCGGAAATATCTGTGTGAGTTAGGACTGAATATAGCACACAGCCACACGTAGGTGTGTGGTCTGCCTCCTCCCATACGTGCAGCCCTGAAAGCCCGGCCAGCAGGCGCCATCCTGTGGCAGCAGACTCTCAGTCCTGTGATGCACCAGAGACTGGCTCAAACACAGAAAGGACTCCTGGCACTCACAGCACAAACTAGCAAGAAAGCCTCTGTGAAATCCTGCTTTAACTGAGAAACTGGGACAACACCAGGTCCTCTTAAGAGAAGTGACATCTTAAGCCTAAGTTCTTCTAATCAGCATTACCGCCCAGTTCTGGGAAGACCCCCCCGGTTTGTCTGCAGACTACAGAAGGTCTGAGGTTAGTATTTGAGGGGACAAAATGGAAGCAGAGTGCCTGAAGCCTGGAATCACCTCCTCTGCCTTGCAGCATCAGCTGCCTGTGCAGAGATCCCCAAGACATGTCTCATTTCAGAAAAGAACACATTGGAAGAACCAGAACAAGGATATCCAGTACACACACAACACTTTATGGCTTCCCCTCCAGTGCGCGAGGCCATTCACATTACGTGCAGCCTAGGCCATCGTAAAGACAGAGCCAAGCTTCTGCCAAGTTATCTCCACGAGAAGTTACAGAAGTCAGGCTCTAGCCATGGACGTCTCTTTTGATCTATGTGAGACTCTGCTGGAGTGCCACAGGTCAAGTTGAAGCCCCTTTGATCCTCTTCCACTGCTTACAGCTGCATCAGTGGAGGCGAACCCCTTCCAGGAGGCCTCTCTTGGCAGACGAGGAGATGAGAACGCTGAGCAGCTAACAGGCAGCAGCTAACTGCCTGGACACCTCTCAGGAGGATATTCTGTATGTAAAGTGCTAGAGCTGGGAGAAGCATGCGTCCAGTATGCTGCCTGGATCCAAGAGGGTTTTGAAGGTGAGTATTACAAGGACTTTTTGCTGCTGTTTTTGTCAAAATGATCCAACACGCTTGTAAATGAAATGTCTCTTTTTTTTTTTTTTTTTTTTTTTTTATCACGACCAGCACTGCCCGGAGAGAGCCTTTCGGGCCACGAGAGGGCAGTGCCGGGCAGCGTTCTGATCTGCCAGCCAAAATCCAGCTTTGAGAGGCACCCTCCTAGATCGATCAGCATGTTTGTTGCAACTGTCTGCATTGTTGGCAACCCTGGAGTCCCAGTGCTCCCTAGGGGCTCAGCAGGCTCCAGGGGAAGAGTTAAATGCTCAGCCAGAAGCAGTGCAACCTGCAATCAGAGCCAAAGGAAAGGAGTGAGTAAGTAATCTCTGCAGCGGAGTCTGGGGGAAAGGAACATTTTAATGCAAAATTTAGCACTTCGTGGAGGTCAAAGCAGGGGGTGGAGAAAAGGGAACTTTGGGGAAGCTCCCAGCTGGACCTGAAAAACAACTGCATCTAGCTGCACTGTGTGAGCATGCAGAGCTGCTGTGCTCTGAGGCAGCCTGGCCTCAAAGGCCTGCTGCACAGTGTTTGACAAGTGTGTCATGGAAATTACACCTCTGAAAGCTGCATAAATCAGCAAGCACTGCCTCATTTTCCTTCCAGATGCAATCTCTGTGATCTCTCACAGCCTTCATGCACACATTATGCTCTGCAATTGGGGCTCCACATAATGTGCATTCTTACCACAGTCAGTAGCAAGGGGTAGAATGGATACAGACCTCACATGTGCCAAATGCTGAGGAGTGAGTCATTTTCTCCAGGACCACAAAGATGTGGGGCTCTCTTTTGCACATTTGCATCTCAATAAACACTCCATTCAATATTCTCACCACCTCCTATTCTAACCCAGGTAACTAAACAGAC